TTATTTTAAGATTTTATTTATTTACCTGACAGATAGACAGCAAGAGAGGGAACACAAGCAGGGGGAGTGGGAGAGGTAGAAGCAGGCTTCCCACTGAGCAGGGAGCCCAGTGCGGGGCTCGATCCCATGACCCTGGGATCATGACCTGAGCCGAAGGCAGACACTTAACGACTGAGCCAGCCAGGCGCCCCCAGATGACATGATTTTATATTTAAAAAATCCTAAGGAATTCACCAAAAAACTATTACTGCACTAATAAATGAGTTCAGCAAGATTAATATACAAAAATTAATTGAATGTCTCCACATCATCAATAAACTAAGAATGAAATTAAGAATTCTACTCACAACAGTATAAAAAAGAACAAAATACTTCAGAAAAATTTAACAAAAGTAGTGTAAAATGTATACACAGAAAACTGTAAAACATTGTTGAGATAAATTAATGATTATGTAAGTGGAGAAATATTTTCTGTTCATGGATTAGAAGACTCAATATTACTAAAATAGTTCTCCCCAAACTGATCAATTGATTTAATGCAATCTCCATTAAAAGTCCAGCAGGATTTCCCCCAACCCCCCAAAAAGTTTCTTATTTATAAGAAAATGTAAAGAACTCAGAGTATTCAAAACAATATTTATTTATTTTTTTTATTATGTTAATCACCATACATTACATCATTAGTTTTTGATAAAGTGTTCAATGATTTACTGTTTGTGTATAACACCCAGTGCTCCATTCAGTACATGCCCTCTTTAATACCCATCACCAGGCTAACCCATCTCCCCACCCCCCTCCCCTCTAGAACCCTCAATTTGTTTCTCAGAGTCCATAGTCTCTCATGAAAAAGTTGGGAGGGTTTATAATCTCTGATTTCAAAACTTTTAAGCTGCAGTAATCAAACTAGTCTGGTACTGGCAAAAGGGCAGAGAGATCAATGGTGTATAATAGAGAGTCCAGGAATAAACTTTTACATTTATGGTCAATTGATTTTCAACAAAGATACCAAGACAATTCAATGGGGGAAAGGGAAAGGATGCTGGGACAAATGGATATCCACATGCAAAAAGATGAATGTAGAACTAACATTTTACCTCATAATATACACAAAAATTAACTCAGAATGGATCTTAGTCCTAAATGTAAGAGAAAAAAACATAAAACTTTTTGAATAAAACATGAGAAAATCTTTGTGACATTAGGTTAGGTGAAGAGTTGTTAGGTACAATACGAAAATCACAATCTGTAAGAGAAAAAGTTGATGACACCATTTAAGAAAATGAAAATATAAGTCATTGAGAGGAAATGCTTATAAATCAATGAGATGCCACTTCAAATCCACTGGAATGGTTGTAATAAAAAAGATAAACAATAAGTATTGGTGAGGATGTGGAGAAATTAGAATCCTCATAAACTCTTATTAGTAATGTAAAATGGTATAACCACTTTGGAAAACAGTTTGGTAGTTTCTTAAAAAGTTAAACATGAAATTACCATATGACCCAGAATTTCGCTCCTAAGTTTCTACCCAAGAGAAATGAAAACATAAGTGCTCGCAAATACTTCTACACAAATGTTTATAGCAGCATTATTAATACTAGCCCCAAGGTAGAAGCAATCCAAATGTCCATCAACTGGTGAATGGATAAACGGAATATGGCATATCCATCCAATGGAATACCCAACATATTCAGCAATAGAAAGGAATGAACTACTAACAGATGTTATAACATAGATAAACCTCAGAAACATTATGCCAAGTGTAAGAAGTCAGATATGAAAGACCATATATTATATCATTCTCTTTATAGGCAATGTCTAGAAAATACAACTCTATGGAAAGTGGATTCATGGTTTCTCGGATCTAGAACTGGGAAAGGGAACTGACTGCAAATGGACATGACAGATCTTTTTGGTGTGTGATAGAAATGTTCTAAAAGTGTATTGTGGTAATAGTTGTACAACTATAAATTTGGGAAAAATTATATACCTAAAGTGAGTGAATATGGTATGTAAATTGTACTTCAGTAAAGCTGTTGAAAAATATGAATAGTCCCAATATAAAGGATATGTATAAATGAAATATTCATAGCAGCTTTAATCAAACTAGCCTCAAACTGGAAACAACCCAAATGCTCATCAACAATAAGTGGATAAACAATTTGTCACATCATCTATAATGGTATACTATTCAGCAGTAAAATGAAATGAATTACTGACACTTGAAACAACATAGATGATTTGTGTACAACAATGAATCACGGAACACTACATCAAAAACTAATGATGTAATGTATGGTGATTAACATAACATAAAAAAAAAAAGAAACAACATAGATGAATCTCAAAAGAATTATGCTAAGTGAAAGAAGCCAGACACAGAAGAGTCCTTACAATCATAAGAAATTCTAGAACAAGGCAAAAAACCCAATAGTGATAGAAAGCAGATCAGTGGTTGTTTCTAGGGGCCAGGGTATGGGGCAGGGGATTGCAAAAGATGTAAGGTAGGTTTTTGGGATGGGAATAGTTTGTACCTTGACTGTAGTAATGGTTATATGACTGAATACATTTGTCAAAATTCATTAAACTGTACACTTAAATTGGTTTTAGTTTACGTAAATTATACTTCAATAAATGTGGATGAAAACACAACTCTTCATTGGGATAACTGGAATGAAAATATTCCATGTTGGAGATATGTATATCTCTTTGTGTTCTACCAGAAATGTGTCCGAAGGTGGGAGGTATGTCATCTTCTTTGTAAAGTATCTTTTCCGTTGGTGCTGGAGCAATAAATGACCAGATAAATAATTTACAAACACAAACAAAACAAATGTTAAAAGAAACCTAAGTCCATGCTACTGCGTAATGAGTTCTTTTGTGGGGTGATGAAAACACTTTAGAATTAGATGGTCATAGTGGTTGGATAACTTTGTGTATATACTAAAATAATCGCCAAATTGTACATACAGGGTGAGGTTATGGTATGTGAATTGCATCTTAATTAAAAAAACATTAAACATACAAGATCTTCTCATTTTCTTTTTTTCTTTACAATATGGGTATGAAATGGAGGAAGCAGGGAAAAAGCAATGACAAAGGACTATTTTGAGTATCTTTTTATTTGTGACTTTTTTATTGGCATGTGGCTATTAAGTATTAAAGTGAGAGAAATGTTATGTTACTGCTATCACTAAAGCAGTAGTGATAGCAAAAACCTGCTTTTTAAACTCCCAACCAAATTTTTTATAATTGTGAAAAAAAGAATAGTAACCTGTTTATTTTTGAAGTTCCTTGTTGTCCGTAGCCACTTGAAGGCACTTTCTGGTAGAGTAGCTGTCTGTTGGTCAAGTGAGTCTGAGGTTTTACTCTGGGCATGATGGATTCAATATGATTATAATTGAGGCATAAGACCTATGGAAAGAGCACCTATTAATTAGACATTTAAATATGAAAACTGCTGTATATATATTTTTGGTTTGAGATTATCAACATCCTAAAAACTATTAAGATGGTATAGATAAAACTTGGTCTATACAACATAATTTAATAATATATCAGTGTTAAAAATTACATAAATTTTTATATCCCAAATGGTCTGGACTTGACTTTGAATGTGTTTTTTATAATCTGACTTGCTGGGAAATTATAAGATTTCAAACAAAATAATGGAGACCCTAGAAAGCTGCTCAAAGTTCTCAATCTGCGCTCCTGACTTCTTCAAGCTTGATATAGTTGAAATAATTCTTTAGTTGGAGAGATCACCATTTCCCTATGTTTAAAAGGCCCTTGTAGATAGCTCAGCCAAAGATATAGGATGGGAGGCAATAAGACTGCTTTGAGAACCTCAGTATCCTCCAATTTCATTCCATACCCACTCACTATAGAGGCACCCTTCCATCCCATCTCCTACTGCAGAGTAAGAGTTACGGCTTACAAGACAATCATATAAAACTGAGGTCAACCAAAATAATTTTGGAAAGTAATACTTTTGCTTGGTGAAAAAAAAACCTTTAGGAATAATTTCTCTTCTTTAGTAATATAAAAATACATTTTAATCCAGAGTAAAGAAGATTACAACTTGCATTGAAAACCTTGAAAGAAAAAAAATCTGTGAATGACTCACCTTCACATTAGGCAGATAGATTAATCCACTGAATGAGGTAAGATTATTGTTTTGTAGATTCACATTACATACATTTCTAAATTGGTCAACTGGAATCAAATCCACAGTTCTGGATTTAGATAAATACAGTCATAATTTTAATAGGAAAATTATGTAGGTGAATCATTCATGTACAATCCCAAAAACATTTTAAAAATAACTCATCTGACAAATGCTATGAAAAAAATTGCCTTAGTGTTAAATGTATGGGTCGAATAATTGGATAAATATATGTTTTTGTTGGACACTTATGTAAGAAAATGACATAGAATTTGATTGCTTTTAAAAATGTCCATTACCAGGGCGCCTGGGTGGCTCAGTTGGTTGGGCGACTGCCTTCGGCTCAGGTCATGATCCCAGGGTCCTGGGATCGAGTCCCGCATCGGGCTCCCTGCTCTGTGGGGAGCCTGCTTCTCCCTCTCCCACTCCCCCTGCTTGTGTTCCCTCTCTCGCTGTGTCTCTCTCTGTCAAATAAATAAATAAAATCTTTAAAAAAAAAAAATGTCCATTACCACATAAACATAGCACTATCACAAAGGAAACTTTTAAAATAAACATCTCCAATTTCTTTATAAGTTTACATACATGTTCATGAAATTGTAGTGCAGTTGATATAGTAAATCATAAGTTTTTCAGGTTATATGCTGCAGAGGATATATGTGAAACACATTATTTCCGAAATACCAGGAAGAGGTTAGGGATGGAAAAGAAAAGGGGAAGAAAGCAGGTGAGGTCTTTGAAAAAAAAAGTGTTCTATGCAATCTCCTGAAAACTTTTATGGCATTCCACCTTGTAAGGATGCTTTGGTAATTAAAAAGAATGCTTGATTCCTAGTCCATAGCTTTACAACTGTTCCACCTTCCTTTGAGCCATGATAGAGTAGAGTATAAAGCTAAATTACCTTGCCTTAACCACTTCTTTAAACAAATCTAAACCCTGTAGTTATGATTATGACATACTTTTATCCATTAATAAGTCATTCATCAATATATTTTTATTAGTATTTTCCAAGTACAGACAATGCGTTTGGAAAGGCTACAACAAATATGAAAACATACTGTCTCTGCCCTCATGAAATGGGATCCAGAAAAATTAAAACAAAGAAGGAAAGTGTATATAATAAAGTTAGATGTAGTGGCATTTTAGGGAAAGAAACACTGATCTGGGGAAGTCAGGAGTCACTTCACAGTGGACACAGTGGAGAAAGATATTAGAATGAGCCTTGGAGAATTTATAGGCGTTTGTTGGGCAAATTAGAAAGAGTTCCAGGTAGTGGAACAAGTACAAGCAAAGGCAGAAACAGAATCATAGCATCTTGTGATTGAGATTAAGGAACTAGAATATTTTAGAACTTCTGGAGCATAAAGAGTAATGGGCAGTAAAGGTAAGGATTACAAGAGATAAAAATAGGTAATTAAAGAGTCTTCTATGCCATACAAAGAAATTTTACATTTTATTCTGTAGACAGTGGAAAGCCACTGAAAAATGTTGAGAAGGGAAGTGATCTGATAAAACTTGCATCTTAGAAGGCAGTATGGATGGATAATAAATGGATTTGCAGGGAAGGTTATGAAACACAAAAAACCAAAACTATCACCAAGAGAGTCTCTAAAATTGTTCATTTCCCCAACCTAGGCCAGTGGTAGTGACTGTGGAAAGAAGAGGGGAATTATGAGACATACTTAATATGGACTCTGTAGAATGTGGTGATCAATTACAAATGGAGGACAAAGGAGAGAGAAATGACCCTTAGATTTTTGGCTTGGGCAACAATAGCAGGTGGATGTTGTCTTCTTGATGCTATCTAAAGAGCAACTGAATAGTCAAGTAAAGAGCTCAGGTTTGGACTGAATTTAAAGGGCCAGCATATAAATTAAATATATGGCTAAAGATGTCTGTCTGTGAAGAGTGCAGAATAAGAAAAAGAGAGAAGAGAAAATAATTTATTTGCCAGGACAGTGAGAAAAATAGCATCAGAGGAATGGTGGCAGTAGCAGCCAGACTGCACTGGGTTAGAGCAATATGATGACATTTTATTTTTTATTTTGTTAAGATTTACTTACTTATTTTAGAGAGAGAGCAAGCAGGGGAAGGAACAGAGGGGGAGGGAGAAAGAGAGGGAGAGAAGCAGACTCCCCGCTGAGCATGGAGATGCAGGGCTCGATCTCAAGACCCTGAGAATATGATGACATTTTAAATCAGTGTGTGTGATAATGTATTTCAAAGAGTGGTGAAGTTAGCATGAGATTTTGAAGTAGGGAAGATGATTTTCTGAATTATTGTTTATATCTGGATAACATGTGTATTAAATTATAAACCTTAGAAAATGATATTACATATTTAACTATAGTATCAAAAAGCATATAATAAAATGATTGTACCTGATGGATGATGAAGTCCAATTTAGTTCTTGCATTTGGGTGAAGTTTGAATGTCCTTGTCGTTCTGCAATCATGTCAGAAGTAAGTCTGCCACCAAACAAATCTTTTGCACATTCAGTCTCTGGTGGTTCCTATATATAAGGACATTTAGAAAGTGATGTCTTCTCTTGCAGATGACTAAATGACATTAATTCTTTGGTTTTAGGTCAAAATGGAGTGGACTCATTTCTCCCTATTCCTCCTACTAAGTACAGCCTAAATTCTTACACATTATATATTAAATAAACGTAAAGGAGACTGAAAGGTGCAGAGAAGAAGACCAGCTAGGGACCTTGGGACCTGAGGAATGGTGGTGAGTTCCCTGGCACCTGGGTTGTGATTATAATAAAAATATATTTAGACTTTATCCTCTGTTCCTGGCCTTGTCATATGGTTAGGCAGGATAGCAAGGAAAACCTGGCCTATTGAAGGGATGGGCAGATATCCCTGTATGCTCACTTAAGGTGGCCACCTGGGTTTATGAAATAGGTGGACACTGGGGGCTCTACAGCAATGCAGAGATGGTCTGAATGTAGACATATTTGTCTTGCACCCTCTGAGGCACAAAATGCAATAAGTACTGTTCTGTCTGCCAGCAAAAGAGACCGAGACTGCAGATGACAATGTGGCAGATTTCCCTGGTGGGAAGGCCTTGAACATAGCTGGCAGAACTGATTCTGGTAGCCCTAAGGAGCTACAAAAGGGTCTTGACCGAAATAGATACTGACTCTGGACTGGATTTTGCTTACCCAGTGGTAAATGTAAATGCTCAGAGTGCTATAAAAGAACTGGGACAGAAGATATCATGCCAATTTAGACAGCTGACTGTTCTTTTTTCAGACAAAGGAACACACTTGACGGCCCATAAGTTCTGACAATGGGCATTAAGATATCCTCCGTAAGAGTAATAGCTTGATAGAGAATTGGAATGGGCAATTAAAACATTGGTTGTCTAAAATAGGAAGATAAAAGCATGGTAAAAGCCTTCATGAGAATGCTCACACAGTGTAAACATGAGTGGGGCTAAAGAAATGTCCATAGATTTCTCTGTTTTTCTGATGGCTGTGGGGAAAATGCTGGTATGACTATGCGATTCTTGGTAAGGGAAGATGATGCTCATATGCCACTATCCTTTTTGTTCTTCCCCACATCACCTCAACTTTTGTTTCCTACCTGATCATAGGACCATGGCTACAACTGTAAGTGCTAGAAACAGGGATGACTCCTAAGCAAGAAACTATAACTATGTTTTTAAACCTTATGTCAGAATTCCTAAGTGCCTAAAGGGGATGGGTTCTACCTTCACCCCATCTGACAAAATTGGTTTAACAGTGAATGTAGCTATATTGTCTGGGGGCAAAAATAGCCCACTGCTAGTCCTGCACCTGTATAATCTCACCTCATTTGAATGGGAGTGGACTGAGAGTGAGGTACTTGCTAAACTAGTATTGCTGTCTACAATCTAGACCAGCACAGTGACCCAGCCTATTGTCCCTTCCAAAGGTGGAAAAGTTTGGGTATAAATGGAAAAAAGAAGAAATGTGGGTAAAGGAATTAATAAATAGGTTATATAGTGAGGGAAATCCAATGTTACATTAACAGTTCAAAAGAGGCTTAGAGCAAGAGTTGCTATCAATTGATGAATGGATAAAGAAGATGTGGTATATATATACAATGGAATATTGCTCAGCCATAAAAAAGAATGAAATCTTGCCATTTGCAATGACATGGATGGAGCTAGAGTGTATCACACTAAGCGAAATAAGTCAGTCAGAGAAAGACAAATACCATATGATTTCACTCATAAGTGGAATTTAAGAAACAAAACAGATGAACATAGGGGAAGAAAAGAAAAAAAAGAGGGGGAGGTTGCTCCAGAGCCATAAAGATGAAAATAGTGTCTTGTTATTCAGAACAAGGCTTCTTTCAACCACACTTAGTTTATGTTAAAAGGTGACTTTTAGAAAGTCCGTAAGGATGGGGGCTGTTTGCCAGGGGAGCCAACCATGATTAGAGGGTTGGAACTTTCAGTCCCACTCCGTGATCTCTGGAGAAGGGAGACGGGCTAGAGGTTGAATCAGTCACCATTGGCCCCTGATTTAATCAGCCATACCTACATAGTGGAGTCTCCATAAAAACCCAAAAGGAGGGGCTTCACAGAGCTTCAGATTGGTGACCACGTGGAGGTGCTTGGAAAAGTGCTTTGCTCAGAGAGAGCATGGAATCTCGGTGCCCCCTCCTGTATACCTTGCCCTATGCCTCTCTTCTATCTGGTTGTTTCTGAGTTTTATATCCTTTTATAATAAATCAGTAATCTAGTAAGCAAATGTTTTCCTGAGTTCTGTGAGCTGCTCTAGCAAATTAATCAAATCCAAGAATAGGGTCATGGAAACCTCCTTTTTATAGCCGGTTAGTCAGAAGCGTGGGTGCCAACCTGGACTTGTGATTGGTGTCTCAAGTGGGGGCAGGGGCAACAGTTGGGACTGAGACCTTAGCCTGTGGAATCCGAACCTATCTCCAGATAGATGGTGTCAGAATTCAGCTGAATTCTGGGTCAGAGAATTGCTTATATGTGGAAAACCCGCACATTTGGTGTCAGAAGTATTGTGATTGCAGTGCAGTGTGAGAGTAAAGGAAACACACAGACACAGGTTTTCCTTTACATCTGGGTTTTCTTTTTGCTTCATATATGTGGGACTTGGTGCTGGAGACACCAGAAACTCAGAAAACAAGAGAAAACAAAAATTCACATAAACACCTGCACTCTATAGTCAAAAGACTAGGAAAGGCGAAGCCTAACAAGCCAGAAAACCTTTAGACAATAATGGGTCTACTCTAACCAAATGCCTTGGAATAAATTGTGGTGCCATCTACACCTATAAAAGCAGAATGGGAGCAGAGACTTCCCTCTTGCCCTGGCTGAACAAGGCACCTCTCTATCATTCCCTTGCTGAGTGAGCAACGTGGACCTTCATCCTCTCCCAGCAGTAATGCACCCCTCCCCCCCACCCACAAGCGTTACTAGAGAATACTTGGGCAGCCTGTTCCACTTCCACCCAGTAATAATGGCGGAGCATGCATGAGGCACTTCTGACTGGGAAGAGGAAACCAGTCAGGATGAGTCCGTAGAGGCCTATGGACTGTGAGCTTCTACCCTAGCCTAGCAGGTAAGAAATCACGTACCTCCAGATTGTCAACAGAGGCCAGGTGGGGGAATTTGGATTTCTACCTTCCACCTGACAACAACATCACCTTACTTTACAGTGACTAGGGACACTGACATACCATTTTTTTGTTCAAACATATTTTGCCTAAATTTTTCTAGGAAATAGGAAGCTGGTTTTAGGCCCAAGAGAATGGTAGGGCTCCAGAACAGTTTTCTATCCTGTCCCAGAAAATTGTACTCTTTAAGTTGGTAGGCCCTGAATTTAGTGGGTGCAACTGTAGGCAGCATCTTTCCTTTCCTGCCACCTCAATTTAGACAGGAATTGGCTAAAGGAGAAAATTTTAAAACCCAGATCTAAAATGTGTTTGGGAGACCTAGATTTGGGTATCATACTAGTGAGAAGGCAAAGTTCAAAATGATTATGGCCTATGGATATATGAATATGAATTGGACCAAATGCTATGAGTCATAAAACAGCTTACAATTGAGATTCCATCCAAAGCTTTCAGTTCTGGAAGATGAAATATTACAAACAACCGGTAGTTTTCTTGATTCCATACGATAATATTTCCATACATGTCAAGAATGACCAGGTTGCATAAACCCTGGGTAATAAAAACACATACATTTAAAGATATATCTATATATCTCTATCTATCTCTGTCTCTACCTCTATCTACCTACCTACACACATATATATACATATATATACATACATATATATATGTAGTAGATAAATACTCCAGCAAGTTTTTTTCCCCTTAAGAGTTTAACCATCCTTGAATTTTAATATTTGAATTACTTTATCATTTCATAGTGATTTCAGTGTACATTTAGTGATACACATAGTGATTTAAGTATACATTTTATTGCAGGAGTTATCCTTGCAGACCAGTAAGTTCTAATTTTGTACACTATTTCAGTGGTATGTGTTAAATGATCAGAATCTCTTTTAGGATGCTGCTGCTAAATGTATTGCTATCAGTAGTAAAGACATGGAGGGAACTTTGCTAAGTTTAAAACCATATGCTTTGTTTATGGAATACTGTCCTGTTAAATAGTATGCATGTGTGTATATAGATGTAACAAGAATGAAAAACACTGCTTTCTGATGAGGGATAAAACTGATGTGCTCCTATCTTCTGAGAGAATGGCAGAATTCATCTTAAGGGAAAATGTGCTTTCTTATTAGGACATTTTGATGTGCCTTTGTTGTGCAGGAAGAGCCCAGAGGAGAGGTGGATGGGAGAGGTTAAGACAAGCGGGAGTAACACTACTCTGCATCATGATGTAAAATGGTTTATTTTGTTGCTGCTATCATTGATTAGGTTGCCTCTGCAGCTTTAGAAGAAGTAGTTATATTGAGGGAGTAGGAAGGGGAAGACTGAACGCAAGGAAAGATAGGAAACGGACATAAGTTTTTGGTAGAAGGTAAAATCCTAGCGATATGGTATCAGCAAAAGAAAGAGGTCATCATGAGAGTCCCAGTGGTAGGGAATGGCCACTGAACTTTAGAAACAGTGAAGTCACACAATGCATTTGAAGTGAATTCCTATTCTGTGCTGTAGTAAACCTCCATTTTATTCAAATCTTCAGAAAAGCCTATTATACAGTAGCCTTGATGTAGATGTTTCATTGGGAGAATTAAAGAGGACAAAGCTAGGCAAAGTTGGCCAGAATGAGTTGGAGTCACCAGTAAGAACCAGTAAGTGAGAGATAAAAGTTCCTCTGAGAAGAGGAAATGTTAAAGACTCTTACTCCCCAACCAGATTGGGGGATCCTTGGAAATACTGAGGAAGGCACTGGTTAGTGGGGTTTGAATATTTTATTTGTACTTAAAAAAAAAAAATTGCCCTAGTAGGTTGTCAGCTTGGGGACATTATGGTCACATATACATATGTTTTTATGTATGCATAAATTGAATGCAAGTACATTTTAGTAAACCTTGTTATTCTTGACTTTTATTTTGTTTATATTTTGCTATGTTTTCCAAATCCTATACATTGAACATGCACTATTTTCATAATATAAAGAAACAATACATATTTTAAAGAACAAAAACATTACCACCCTAGATAGTCACCTTTAAATTGTAGATCTCCTGATTGACAGCAATATAGTTATTGCTTATGTATAATTCAATCAGAGTAACAGCTTTTAGTAGACCACTCAATGAAGTGATTCTGTTGTTCTCAAGAGAAAGGGAGTGAAGATGAAGCAAGTTATCAAACGTATGTTTTTCCAAACCAGTGAGAAGATTATTATTTATGCTGAGACGGGTTAATTTAGTCAGCTTGGAAATGCCTAGAAAAATAAGTAAATTCAAGAAAAGATTCAGATAGCACTGAAAAGTTAATTTAAAAAAAACAACTGGCTGTTTTACTCTTTACAGATTCTGCAGTATTAACTATCATTGTTTTAGCTTTTAAGAAGGATATAATGTGTATAAAATCCCAGCTAATATATTAAATTCCAGTTTTGGATTTCTAAGTAGACTCAATCTTCTTAGGTGTTAAGGGAAGGTATTATGTAGGAAATATTGAGTTTTGCTTTCAAATAAACTTCAAATGATATCATTAAGATTTTTACCATCATAGTAACACAAAGCTCAAAAAAATCACCAGCCCCCATTTTAAAACAGTAAAGGTAAGGAACTAGATACAACACTTTGTATTCTTCATTGTGGCATCATTTGTATTAAAAAGAACCATTTGACCTAACTCTACCTTTGTATGCTTAAAAGTACTTAAAAGACAGAACTTTAGAAAATGTCACCTCTCACCACAATCTAACTCTTAGGTATGCTATGTACTGGAGGTACTTTTTAAAAGGTGAAAGATTTATACGATGTGAAGAGAAACCAGAGTATCTGGAGGTACTTTTTAACTGTAGGTAGAATGGTATAAATTGAAAGATGAGAACTTTGGAGTCAGAGTTGGTTTCAAATGTATAACTACTAAATTTGGGACCATAAATATGTTATGTAAAATTTTGTAACCTCTGTGCCTCATTTTCCTCATCCACAAAAACGATGTACTGAGGGGAGCCTGGGTGGCTCAACTGGTTGGGCATCTAACTCTTGATCTCAGGTCAGGTCTCAATCTCACGGTTGTAAGTTCATGCCCAGCGTTGGGCATGGAGCATACTTAAAAAAAACAAAACAAAAACAGGACATACTGAAATCTGCTCCCAAGGGGTTATGGAATCAAATGGAATGGCATTTGAAAAGCGTCAGTTGTAGCTTTTGGCAAATAATTGGTTCTCAGTACGTTTTGTCCTTTCTGGCCTTTCACACCAGCCTTCATCATGACTATGCAATGCTGAAAGTAAATTGATCTAGCAAGTTAGGATAAAACCATCAAGGCAAAAATCCTTAGACGGATTTTAAACCTATCTGTGTCTGGAGAAAAGGAGAGAAATATCTGTTAAACTTTAGTGAGGTAAAACTATCATCTCTGAAAAGTGAGTATAGGAAAAATATAGGTTAGAGGATTCTTCCCTTCAATGGGATTATGGACGGGAATAAAAAGGAAACTGGGTTCTCATTTATACATATAAAGGAAAACTAACACCCTATTGTATGGGAATGGAAGACTAGTGATGGTTCTAAAGACATGTCTGAGCTACCCCCAGGTTTACTCAATTGAAATCTACAAAGGAGAGGCCTGTGAATCTGTATATTCACTCAGTGTCCCAAGTGATTCTTATGATCAAGCAAGTTTTAGAAGCAGATTGTTAGGAGCCATCAAAATAAAGTATAACTAATGTTACACATACTGTTTTTTAAAGATATTTAGTACTTGCTTTTGCATATGTGATTTTTTGAAATAGAGTTTTCTAGTTTATGAAAAAGCACACAGACACACACATGCACATGCTGAAAAGAATCCAACAATTCAAAAGTGAGTAAAGTATAAATGAAGTCTCTTCCAGTCATGATTTCCAATTCTTACCTTCTCTTCTTGACAAGGACAACCTTGTTAGCAAAATGCACAACCAGAAATATTCTATACGCAGATAAACCCAACATTAGTAAAACTGCTTAACAGTACTTTATATGGATCCCTATTGATTTTCAACCTCTAGTGAATAAAGTGTTCATTTTTGTTAAAGTCTTCACATTTCCAAATGTAACCTTAATTCCATATTTTGAAAAATGAACTGGGCTGTTTTCTCTTTTTCAAAAGCACACCTCACTCATTCATTCATTTTTCCCACTCTGTAGATATTAATTACTGCCTAGTTTGTAATGTGCTAGGATTGGTAATAGTGGTAAACATTGGCACAGAAGAGACAGGGAAGTCAGAAGAGTGGCAAGTTTGCTAGCTGGGCTCATTACGCATAGCAACCGGTCTCAGATCCCATCAGTAGACGGGTAGAACGCTCTGCCCCAAACCTTCTTGGAACTTCTCTAGACATCTTCCTCCTCAGACCCAGAAATTCTGTCCTCAGTGTTACTCATTTTTTGCTCTGTTAATTGGACATTCATATCTTAAGATTTTCAAATTCTCACATACCTTCTATCTTTGAGATACAGTTTCCGTCTAATGTGAGCTCTTCCAAGTTAACACAGGATTCCAAGCCTCCCATTTTAGTGAGATTATTGTTGCTGAATGATGCCCATTTCAAATTTTCTAATTTTTCTAAATTTGTAATTTCAAAGAGATGTTGCCCATCTAAATTTAAAGCAGTTATCTGTAGAATAATTCACATTTTATGTTACTTCCGAATCTTATCAATAAACGCAGTGCTACAAAAAGGCTAATGAAATAATTCAAATGTGGTAAGTGATATCAAAGGAATTCCTTCAGGAACTAAAGACATAGTGAAGCTTACAAAAGAGTAAGATTTGACAAGATTATAACTCCAAGAGGGACTTAAGTGGTTTTATGGACACTGTGCTGGCCAGATTCCCACCAAAGTGAAAGACTTCTCCCAGCTGCTGAGAGTGCTGTTGGCGGAAAGCCCTGGGCTGTCAGCGCCTTCTGAGACAGCCTCAGCTGCAGAGAGCTGCCTTGCCCAAGGTCACGCTCCGTCCCAGGCTGGCCCACATCCAGTGATGGAGGGATATAAAGCCTGCTCTTCTCAGCCCAACCTGGGGTAAATTTAAAGAGTCATTCTAATTCCAAAACTCGCTGTGGGGTCAGCCAGAGCTGTCACTGAGCCTGCATCACAGCTACATATCTGTACATAGCTGGTAATAAAAAAAAATGTATAAGGGTGCTTTGTGCAGCAAAAAGAAGCTGGTGGTGCCCTCTAACCCTTCCCCCTTATCCTTGGCTGAATTCTGACCAGTTCTCCTAGTCCCATGCCAGGATTCTTGATTTCTTTTACATTGCTACCCAAACTTTTGGCTTGATCTCTGGTTCTGAGCTTTCAAGTTTGCTTATTTTGATGTATTATCAAAACCTACCCTTTGGTCTTGCAGTGTACCTTTATCCTAAATCTCCAGTTCTATGGTGACCACCATTAAGGTCTAGTCCCTGTGACATTACCGTTCACAACTTGACCTCCTTGTTTGATTCTAATTTGGCTCTTCCAGTTTTCTGCCCCTTACCTATCTGTACCCTCTTAATGATACAAAGACCAAAGATGATTAAAATCAATTGAAATTAAGCTTTTATATTAGGTTTAATAGAATTAGCTTTTACCTTCAAGTACCAGTTTCCGCTCAGATGTAAATGTGGTCCTAACTTTGAAATCTGTGTCAGAATTTTGGCAGAAGGCCATATACTAAGTATCCGTGGTCTCTCCTCTTTAGTACCAGAATGCCGTAAGAGAGATAACTAATAAGACAAAAAACACATGATGAATAAAGGAAATGGCATATAGCAGGTCATTTATATATAAAGGTATTGCTTCTTAGATGAGTGGCCCAATGAATAATTTTAAAATATGACATTTTCTTTGCCTTCAAATGTTTTCAATATCTAGATATACTTTATGTATTTTACTTTTTGTCTTAGCAGATATTTAACAATGTACAAAATAAAATTTATAGAACTATGAAAGGATTGCTGTAATACAAACATCAACATAATCCATCCATTAAACAGGTTTCAGAGCTAGAATATTCCTTCTACCTGGAAGCTCCCTGTGTGCCCCATCCTAATCCTTTTCCTCTCCTTCCCCTCAGAAACCATCACTCACCTCAGGTGAATCAATCAATGCTCTAAGAAGCAGTCAAATGATCTCAAATTTTCCTTCTACCATTCATTTGCTTTATAGACTTATGTTTGTGCCCATAAATAATATATCATTTAGTCTTACACATATTGGAACCTTGTGTAAATTGAATAATAAGTATGTGTTCTTCTGTGAGCTTTTTTGGTCAACATTGTGTTCATGAGATTTATGTATGCAGATTTGGGGCGCTTGGGTGACTCAGTCAGTTAAATGTCTGACTCTTGGTTTCAGCTCAGGTCTTGATCTCAGGGTCATGAGTTCAAGCCCCACACTGGGCTCCATGTGTAAATTGAATAGTAAGTACGTGTTCTTCTTTGAGCTTTTTTGCTCAACATTGTGTTCATGAGATTCATGTATGCTGCTGTATGTAGTGGTAGTTCATTCAGGTGTCACTGCTAGACAGTATTTCCTTAGCAATTCTCCCATCAATGAACACTGGGGCCGATTTCAGTTTTTCACACTGTTGTTATGAATATTCTTGACTCCTGCTGCATACATGCAGGAGTTTCTTTAGAGTATATACAACTTGCTGGGTTATAGGGAAAGTATATATTCAGCTTTCCTAGATAATGCCAAATTATTTTCCAAAGTTCCACTTCTACTTCAAATTTTTGCTAAAACTTGATATTGTTAGGCTTTAAAACTTTTGACAACTGGTGACTCTCAGTTGGTAGATTGTGTGGTTTTAATGTTCATTTTTTTGAATCCTAGTGCAGTGGAGCATCTTCTCCTGTGATTTGGCTGTTTTGATTTCCTCTCCAGTATTTTTTGCCTATTTTTCTGTTTGATTGGTTGTCTTTTTTCTGATATGTTCTGGATATATAAATAATATCTTGTGTCAGTTAGATGTGTTGCAAATTTTTTTTCCCCAGTATGTAGCTTGTTTTTTCCCTTTCTTTATGGTGTGCCCTTTAAAGAACAGATATATTAATTTTAATGTAGATAAATCCAGTCTTTCATATTTATGCTCTTGGTTTCTTGTGTAATAAGTTCTTTCCTCATTCAAGGTCATAATGACAATCTCTATCTTTACTTCTAAAACATTCTTGATTTTGACTTTTATAGTGAAGTCCTTAATGCACTTGTCCCAGTGCCTTTTATTGACTAGCCTCTCTGATCTAATAAAGGCAGCTCTGCTTGTTGTTTGTCAAATTTCCATGTATGTATGGATCTATATTGGGTCTTTATGTTCTGTTTTCTTGGTCTGTGCCAAACCTACATTTTTTTTAAGTAGGCTCCACACTCAGCATGGAGCCCAGTGTGGGGCTTGAACTCATGACCCTGAGATCAAGACCTGAGCTGAATCAAGAGTCAGACATTTAACTGACTAAGCCAACCAGGTGCCCCAAATCTGCATTGTCTTAAAGGATTTTAGTAAGTTTTGATTTCTGGTAGGGTAAATCCCCAACTCCTCTTGAGGAATTAAATATATTTTTATCAACAAAAAAGTTTCTTTCCTTCATTTTGAATAGATCCTAAATTAAACATTACATTAAGGGATTAATATTCAAATATCTAATAAAAAGTAAATAGCTAGAGAACTAGAGTGAAGATATTTAAGATGAAGCTACTTTGGCCTAAGTATAGCATTCTTAATCTGGATAATATGTGCATTCCCCATGCCCCAAGTTAATAGGTTATGTATGTATGTATGTATGTATGTGTGTGTTTGTGTGTGTTTTAGCCAGATACATATAATATCAATACTAAGTAGATAATTCACTAAGTGCTTTATCGAGGCTTCCAAGCTTACCTTATCCGTGGAAAGTTGTTTATTTTCATGTAGGCACTAGAAAGGACTCTGATGAGTTCAGGTTCATAGGAAAAAAAGTTACCCTAGAGGCATTTTTTATTGATTTTTGGGGTAGTGTGCAGGGATGAGAATCCACACAACCAGTTGGTATTTAAATGGGATATATTTAAACAGAAAAAAAAGTTCAAGTGATATGAATGTTATATATTAACTGATTTTTTATTAGAATGCTAAGAGAGGATACAAAATCTTAATAACAAAGCAAGAGTACTGAAATATAATTTGTATATTCTAAATAGCACAAAAATATTAAACAGTAAAATCCAACCTGAGTAATCTTTGTTCCAGTAATAAATGTCATAGCTGCTGTTGCTTCTTCTTCAGAAATGAGGAGTCCATCTAAATGAGTGAGAGTCTTTAATCTGCCAATAACACTCAGCCTTAATGTGGCTGGCTTGGGAAAATAACAAAAAGTTAATTTTTACAAAATATTGCATATGTTATGGCATGGAAAGGAGTGCTTCTCTATTCCTTCTCATGTAATTCAAAATTATGCATCTCCCACTTTATTAGTTATATCTACAATTAAGGGCTTAACTTAGTTCTTTAATAGCTGAAATTAAGTTATATTTAAGAACTGATCTGTTTCATTTGAAGGTGGATAGCTCTACTCTTATGAAGGAAGGGAAGTCCTGTAAGCTGTTGAAAAGTGTGGTGAAAAGTGTTCAGAGAACTGCAGTGCCTCCTGTTTATCTAGATCAGCAGTTAGTTAGCTCTGTGTGTGCTTCTATCTGGATCTTTAGCTCTTGACTTCTAGTTTGGCAACAGGAAGAGAGCTGTGCTATGACCAGGCACATTCTGGGTCTGCTTTGGTAAAAGAAAAATATCCTTCAATTTTTCTGAGCAAAAAAGAAAAAATACCACAATGTAAACATAGTAATATGGAAAATTAAATAGAACCAATTATTAGCCTCTTTTTAAAATGTTTAACAGTCTTATATACATTTTTGAAAAGCAAGGAAAGGAGGATTCTTGAAATTATAAAGTTGGGGCTTATTTTAAATACTTGGGGATACCCTTAAACATAATCGTTGAATACCAAAATTTCTTAGCATGAATCTATGTATTTTTGAGATGAGAAAAAAATAGTGTTCAATCAAATTTCCTTTTATAGCAGAACATAAGCCTTTATAATACAGGCTTATCAGGGGAAGTGACAAATTTGTTCCCCCCTTAATGGTCTGTCTCTCTTATTGTATTCTATTATTCCTTTTTAAAAAGATTTTATGTATTTATTTGTCAGAGAGAGTGAGCACAAGCAGGGGGAGTGGCAGACAGAGAAGAAGGCTCCCCACTGAGCAAGGAGCCCAATGTGGGACTTGATCCCAGGACCCTGGGATTAGGACCTGAGACGAAGGCAGATGCTCAACTGACTGAGCCACCCAGGCGTCCCATATTCTATTATTCTTGGTCCCATGCCTCGTTACAGTAGGTTCTAGCACACTGAACTATATAAACTCTCCCAAGGTTTGCAAATGGCAATGGTATCTAACACTCTTAAAGCCACAATACTCTCAAACTATTAGAGCCCATCAAAAAAATCTTTTAGTAACATTTGATTCATTTGATCACTACACTACACTAAATTCAACTTATGAAATACTTAAAAGGAATTCTAGTAAAACAAAGATAGTTTGTCTGTTTCTGGCTACTACTGAATAGTAATGAGAAAGTGGCTTTGAAATAAAAATGATCATTTGCTTTTTTATAAATACATCTGCTGCCTACCTTTTGCCATGGATTATGCCTAATATCAAGCGTAAGAAGGCTTGTGGTGTGTTTGCATAACATATTTATTTCATCACCAGATTTTTTCAGTTGATTCCAGCTCAAGTCTAAGTGCCTCAGTTTCATCAGACCTCTAAATCCCTCCAGGGTTATCACATGGTTATGGCTTGCATCCAAATATTCAAGGTTATACTGTAACACATACAAATAGAAGTGGTGCTAAAAAGGATCACAGCTTGTTTTTACAGAGTTCTTTTCTCTATAATTCACTAAGCACTTTATATGTTTTTTGGTAATTCTTACAGAAAACCTACACAGTAGATATATAGCAATTATGGTATCAATGTATGTATTCTACAGGTATTTTATTTTTAGACCTCTCTTAATTCTCACTTCACCCTTGTAATGTGGAGTGACAGTGTTTGTTTTCATAGAAAAGAAGGCAAAAAGTAACTGACAAGACAATTTGTCCCCCGAAACAAGGAATTACAGTTCTTACTATCTGCACTTCCGGTTTATACCACTGAACCCATAGCCTGGCTAAAAAAGGTTCAATTTCAGAGGTAGAAATTAAACCTATTCTATAATTCTCATTTTTAAAAGTACATGACTTTTAATAACTTAAAAATCATTAAATTAATGCATGGTCTATGTTGGAAATTTAGGAAATGTAGTAAATAAATCAAAAGAAAAATAGAAAGCACATATAATTATATTGCTCAGAAGAAACCACTGAAAACATTGTTTTTAATTATATGCACATATATTTTTCTTACATAAAACAGATTGTATTATATAGAAATTTGTATCCCTTTAATGTTCACACATCATTAAATATTCTTCAAAATGGTTTTTCATGATTGTCTAATATTCCAATAAGTGAATTGTTAGGATTATTTTAAACATTTTACTATGAACAATTATGTGGCTTCTAATTGTGGGCAACACTGCAACAAGCATCCATGATCATGATACTTTAACTGAGACTCTGATATTTTTACAGAAAATATTTTTAGAAATGGGATTATTAGTTTTAAGGATTTCTATATTGCTAAGATTTTTTTTTTTTTTTTTTTAAGTAGGCTCCACGCCTGGTGGGGAGCCTAACATAGGGCTCAAACTCATGACTATGAGCTGAGATCAAGAGTCGGATGCTCAGCCAACTAAGCCACCCAGGCACCCCTATATTGTTAAGATTTTTGATATATACTGCTAAATAATTTTCAAGGAAGTTTGTACCAATTTTTTCTTCCAATAGTAGAATATGGGAATGCTCATTTTCTTAAATACCCACCAGTTCACCTGCTTTATTTTAATTTATATTGCTTATTACCAGTGAAGTTGAACATCTTTCCATGTGTTTTGTATTAGCCATTTTTAAATTTTGTTCTTTGTTGATTGTGTTTCTTGTCTGTAGCCATTTATCTATTCGGATCTTCATCTAACTTTTTGTAAGAAGTCTTTAAGACTTAATTTGTTACTTCTATTTGTTGCAAATAAAATTTTCTTTTAAGGTATATACTAATTCAGACATAGAACAAAGAAGAGGTAAAGAAAACTTTAAGAAGATATTTTGCAACATATTTTTTTTTAAAAAAAGGTAATATTACTATAGATTAAACGTGATTTCTTTATAGGTAATTCCAACAGTTGTTTGACTTCAGCATAGAATTAGTCACTGCTCTAGTTCATATTCTTGGAAAAGCATTTATTATAGTGGTTCAGGTTGCAGGAGTTGAATGTACAGATCATTAAAATCTTTTTTTTTATTCAGATCATTAAAATCTTAAAAAAAATTCCTGGAAACCAAATAGCATTATTGACTTTTTATTCTCATAAGCAAGCTTAGCAAAACAAACAAACATACAATCATTTGCTATCATAATTTCTTGAACAAAAGGATATTTGACAGTATTAAGGACATAATCTTAGAATAGTTTTTTAAATGAAATCAATTTGGCTTTATAAAAATTTTACTTCATGGCCTGTCTTCTCCCAGTTTTCATCATAAAGTGGTAAAAACTTGTCCCAAATTCTGGCATTTGAATGCAGACTAGCATTTGGGAACCATACATCATAAAAAGATAATTGCCTTCTTTCCTTAAAAACAGGGATGGGATCTTCATTTTATATTCCCAAGATATAAAACAGACTCTATGAACAGACAGTATTTTCAGTTTTGTAGCAGGGGTTTCTTAATAGTTCTTGTGCTTCAGTTTGTCTTTCTTAAATTACAGTATAGTACAGCCAACTTATAAAGATTAAAACCCACAACACCTCTTTTAAAAATTCTTATGGATAATGGTTCATTCTCTAAATATGAATTAGCTCTCTCTAGACATCAGAAACAACTTAGCAATCAGTTTCTCATTGGAAAAGATCAAACAGAAGTATTGTCTCAGTAAAAAATCAGGCACATGATCTAGATTAAAATTGCAAATAGCCATACATATTTGTCTTTCCCTGGCCAACTCTGATTGTGGTGGAGCTATTTTCAGAGAAAAAGATCTCTTCCTTTCCTTTCTCTTAGATACTCTCTTTTCCTGATAGTTCAGGTGAGTGAATGATAAACATGCAGCTTAGGGCTTTTTAATTTATCTTGTATGGATGTCTTGTTTAGACTTTAAAAAAACCATATAGTGTATATATTTTTCCTACCACTGCCCAAGTATTCCATTAAATTAATGCATGGCCTATGTTAAACAGTGTTAGGTGTTAGGTTGGGTATTTTGATTTAAAAGGCAAGGCCAGGATGATGAACCTTAAGAATAATACATTTACTTTCTGCAACCTAGTAGAAGCAACTTCTAGCATGCAAGAGGGGTATGGAAACTCTCCATATTAGAGATATGCTTAAGGAAAATGATAGTAAAAATGAGATATCTCAAAGGCAACTTAAAAAACATAGAAGACAAGAGGAATGACAGGTGAGTGATTAAACTAGATCATAACCTTCTGTAATGCCAGGATAAACATAATTCATATTAAACACATATACAAAGCTCACTACTGGGGAATAAAGAGGCGGAGACAGCATAGGTTTTCAATTGAAAACAGAATAAATTGATAAAACTCAAATTCTATGGACAACATTTATACATGAAAACAGAATAAACAGATAAAACTCAAATTCTATGGACAACATTTATAACAAAGTTACATGACAAGGTAGCCCAATAAGCCCCCAAAGAAATTGTAAGGATAAACCACCAACAACCACAAGACCTACATGGTATCCATTGTCTATGTGAGAGGAAGAAGGAAGCATCAGGGCAGTATCTGATGGATAACCTATGTTGTAGGTTACAAAGTTCTATTTCTTGACCTAGGTGTCAGTAATAAGCACGTTCACCTTATAATAATTTACTGAACCACATGCTTGTAGTATGTAGTTTTCTGTATCTGTGTTTTATTTTACAATAAAAAGGTAAAAATATACATGTAGAGTATCTCCTCTCTCTGATCACCCCTAACATCCCTATAGTCATTTTTCAAGACACATTTATACATCAGATACTTGATGTTTGAGAGGTTTATATCTAGCTACCTTTGCTAATCTTAAAATTTGAAAATACCACTTGGGCATAAATTTATCCAGTTCTCTTGTCTGTAAAATGGCCACAGTAATATCAATCCAGTAAGTAGGCTGTGACAGAAATTTTTCTATCTAAGAAGACCAATAAAACTATACTGCAAAATACATGCTGGGCAGCTGGCTAAGCTGTCTAAAAGCACTATCTAAGTGCCTTGCATGACTTAGGAGTTTACTTTTTTTTAAAAAAAGGATTTATTTATTTTAGAGAGAGAGTTCGAGAGTGGGGAGGAGGGGTTGGGGGGAGGGTGAGAGAATCTCAAGCAGACCCCTGCTGAGCAGGGAGCCCGATGCAGGGCTTGATCCCCCTACCCTGAAATCTGAAATCATGACCTGAGCTAAAATCAAGAGTTGGATGCTTAACTGATTGAGCCACCCAGGCACCCCAAGAATTTACTCTTTAAATTTTGTGCGTAAGCAAAATTATGACTGTCATAACCTCTGGAACCACTGGCAAATCATCAGAAAAAAAGTTAAATAAAAAATGCCAACAATTTACATATAATCTTGGGACCTCTATTAAACTACCTTCTTTCCTCAGACTACATATTGAACCCAGACTGTCAGGGATTCTATTAAAAAGGACTTCAGCTTGGGGCCCCTGGGTGGCTTGAGTTTCCTCTCTCCCCCTCCCTCTGCTCCTCCCCACCACTCTCTCTCTCTCTCTCTCAAATAAATAAGTAAATCTTTTAAAAAAACAAAAGGACTTTGGCTTATTAAAAGAAACAAGGATGGAGGTTTAGTACTGAAACTTAAGGTCAGTAAGGAAAGCAACAGCTCCCACCACAGCGGGAGAAGCAGCAATGCAAGGGCTTTGATATGATTGAAAGGGAGTAGGGGAATGAATAAAAGCTGAGAATGATGCTATGTTCTGAAAAGTTAGGCCAGTGACTTGGGACCCATGGAAATAGGCGATGCTGGGTTGGAGTTCTGGAGCCACATATAAAATTATTTTTGTTCTATGATATATAACAAAGAAAACAAAAGCCAGATAAGATGCTTAGCTATGTCTACATGGTGCATTATTGTGTTTGTCCTGTGATCTATGAGAGGGCGAACACAAGTTAAACAAGATCTGCACATGTGACATCCAGGTAGAAAGGACAAGGCAGAAAGAAAGAGAAATAACAACATGAATAATGAACAAATGGGAAGAGAACTGACAGCCTTAGATATGAAGTGGTGAACCAGAAAATGAAGAAGTTAAGGACTCACAAGGAGAAAAATAAGAATGAGAAAACAAGAGCAGAAGAAAATGGAAATGACAATTTCCAAAGAACATTTTAAAAACAAGTCTGGAGTAGTTTTAATAAATTTACTTTAAAGTAGTTAGAAATCAGATATGACCACAGGTGTGTATTTGGTTTGCAAATGGAACCTGAATCAAGATCTATTTTATTTTTAAATTTTTTTAAAGATTTTATTTATTTATTTGAGAGAGAGAGAGCACAAGCAGGTGGGGGGAGCGGCAGGCAGAGGGAGAGCCCAACGCGGGACTCGATCCCAGAACCCCGAGATCATGACCTGAGCCGAAGGCAGACACTTAACTGACTGAGCTACCCAGGCGCCCTGTTTTAGACAAAGTAACATACCATAGTGTTTTGTTCCTAATTTGAGCTGTATAATCTTGAATATGGTATATTTGAGGTCTTCATTACAAAAATAATTTATCTTTTAAATTATTTCTTTTACTTAAATAATTTAAAAAAGAGTTCTTACCAGGTGGTATACATCATCTAAGCAAGTAAATTCATTAAAGCTGATATTAAGTTTTCGAAGTCCTGTTAATTTGGAGAGATCTCTCAATTTACTCAAGCTGTTTCCATGGAGATTCAGACTCTGAAATAAAATGAAATGTAAATAAAAAATAAGACAGATTATATTCTACATCATAGTTATTTAAATAACATTAAGAGAGAGCCAATAAATAAATCTAATGTATGATTTTAAAAGGTAGAGTTTATAATAGCATTATTGGACCCTTTTCTTGATTAATTTGATTTTCCACTTGGTCTAGAAACTCTTTTTAGAAAATAGTTAAATATATTGTTAAGACATTTATTGAAGCATACCTATTTTTTTTTTAATTTTATTTATTTATTTGACAGAGAGAGACATAGTGAGAGAGGGAACACAAGCAGGGGGAGTGGGAGAGGGAGAAGCAGGCTTCCCACCAAGCAGGGAGCCCGATGTGGGGCTCGATCCCAGGACCCTGGGATCATGACCTGAGCCGAAGGCAGACGCTTAACGACTGAGCCACCCAGGTACCCTGAGGCATGCCTATTTCTCAAGCTAGCCAGTGAACAATGTAGGCCCTAAAGATTTGGGGTATTAGCGAGGATATCTCACAAGAGAGAAGATGGCAGGGCTACACCTTGACTGCTGGAAACTGTATGAGGGCACTGGACTAAGGAGCAGAGGATGAGGGTGTTAAAAGCAGGAGGACAGATGCTCGAAGAAGGAGGTAGGAAAATGTTTCCATATCAGAATTTGGCCCAAACTTTCCCTGTCCATTTGATCCTGAGTTCAATAAAAAGGAATGTTAACACAGTTGTATATTTAGGGGATACCCTGATCACGACATATTTTTCTGTCTTTATACTACACCATTGTGAATGATACCAAGTGACGATTACATTCATGCATAGTCTACATCATAAGTAGTGGCACAAGAAAATGTATTAATATAATTGACCGCAATATTCACAACAAATGGGTATTATGATAAAATCAAGTGTCTACCTCCCAACTTTCTTTACTCACCACCACCATCTTATACCCTATTATACTGTGAACATAACAAATTCCTGGCAGGGGAAACCTCTAAATGTCGAGTTGTTGTCAAAACTTGGTTAAAATTGTTAAGAAGGATGAAATTATGCAGAGTAGTTTATTCTACAGGTCACATACCGGTATCATCCATGATAGATTCTACAGATACCTTACACTTAACATGTCCAAACTGAATTCATCATTTTTCCTATATATGGGCCTGGCAGTCTATGTTTTGGTCCTGATTAAGAGTTTTACTGTCTGTTGAACAAATATTGTTGACCATCCCCTTTTCCTCTTTTCCATATACATTTGATTCTAGAAATGTTTCTCAAACCATACCATCACCACTACAAGTGCCTTAGTTCAGACTATTATTTGTCCTTTGGACTACTGCAGTAGTTTCCACTGGATATCTATACCATCAGTCTGACTTCAGTTAAGTCTAACCACAAGTTGCTAAAGTTAGGGTCTTTAAAAACACAAAAACTGTTCCTTAAAGAAAATCTAAAATTTAAAATTTGTCTTCAAAAATCCATCCTATTGTGGCATAATCTCCTACTCTTCCAACCACAACCTAATGTATCTTTCTTGTATTCCTTTTTTTTAAGTTTTTTTTATTTTATTATGTTAATCACCATACATTATATCATTAGTTTTTTTTTTTTCAAGATTTTATTTATTTGGGGGAGAGAGAGTGTGAGAGAGAGAAAGAGAGAGAGCAGGAGCAGGGGGGAGGATTAGAGGGAGAAGCAGACTCCCCGCTGAGCAGGGAGCCCGATGTGGGACTTGATCCCAGGACCCTGGGATCATGACCTGAGCCAAAGGCAGACGCTTAATCGACTGAGCCACCCAGGCGCCCTACATCATTAGTTTTTGATGTAGTGTTCCATGATTCATTGTTTGCGTATACACCCAGTGCTCCATTCAATACATGCCCTATTTAATACCCATCACCAGGCTAACCCATCCCCCCACCTCCCTCCCCTCTAGAACCTTCAGTTTGTTTCTCAGAGTCCACAGTCTCTCATGGTTTGTCTCCCCCTCCAATTTGCCCCCCTTCATTTTTCCCTGCCTACTATCTTTTCTCTTCAGATCGCATAAATCTTTCGCCTCTTTCTTGTATTCCAACCTACACCTTTACCTTCCACCGGTACACACCCTATGTTCATAGTCACCCTGCGTTCCCGGATAACACTAGGATCTTTCAAAACCATGTGCTTCTAGGGGCATCTGGGTGGCTCAGTCGTTAAGCATCTGCCTTCAACTCAGGTCATGATCCCAGGGTCCTGGGATCGAGCCCTGCATTGGGCTCCCTGCTCAGCGGGAAGCCTGCTTCTCCCTCTCCCACTCCCCTTGCTTGTGTTCCCTCTCTTGCTGTGTCTCTCTCTGTCAAATAAATGAATAAAATCTTAAAAACAAACAAAACTAAAACCCATGTGCTTCTAGAAAGAGTATTTCCTCTGCCTGGAAAATGTAAACAACTAAATTTCTCATATCCTTCAAAAATCTGTGCAAAACTTATCTCTTTCTGTGACGTTCTCTCAGCAACTCCAAGCTTCCTATGTTTGTTTACATATGTCTCCTCCACTAAAATGATATCCTTGAAAATAACTAATTCATTTTGAACTCCTAATACTTACCTCATTGCCTAAAGCACAGCAAATGCTCAGTAAATGCTAGATGAATAAATCATTGCAAAAGCCAGACATGCAACTAACAACAACTCTATTTTTTTTATTCAAGTAAAATTAACATAAAGTGTTGTATTAGTTTCAGGTGTATAATATAATGATTCAACAATTCTATACATTGCTCAGTGCTCATCACAATAAGTGTACTCTTAATCCTCTGCACCTATTTCACCCCTCCCCCCACCCACCTCCCACCTTTATTTCGATATATTTTATTAATTTTTATGGATGTCCTCAAAAAACTCCATCTAGTGGGGAAGACTGAAAAGAAAGTAAGAGGTATGTATCCTGAATTTCTCCTATGGTAATGGCACAAAGGAAGGAGAATAAAGGGTGTGATGTCTAAACATTCTTGTTGTAATATCTAGTATTCTTACTAGAAGCCCTAGAAGGTTTTTCTGGCTTTTGAGCCACATAGGCAAATTTAGGATGAGAAGTTCTTTCATTCTTATGCTATGGGTGTTGATCAAATTAAGGCAGTCAGGTGAAGGTCACAAGCAAGCCAGGGTATTCTGAAGTCTTATCCTCCTCACTGTTTTTTATCTTACAAACCAAAGATAATAAAAAGGACCTACTTTTTTTTTTTTACTATTGCTTTTTTTAAACTTTTATTTAATCCCTTTAAATCTATAGAAATATATGTCATAGAAGCTCAATCCAGTCAGAACTCATGCATTTATTAAGCCTTTCATCCTAAGCTTTTATTATCAAAAATGTATTACTCAAATATGAAATCTTGACATTATAGTGCAGAAACAATAATTTCTCCATACTGTCAGCTCAGAGATTGCTCCTGTAATCACTAGACTGCATATTTATGATACAGATGGTGATACTGTCATCACGTTATGAAACTTCCCTTCCTCTCTAATAACTGGCTAAGGTCAAAACTTAATTAGACTTGAAGATTTGGTGGATGGTGATGATGTAGTTGGACAAAAGCAATTCCATAAACAACTTTAAAAAAGATGTGTTCTAAATATTTTCAGAAGCAGACTCAAAACTATTGACCACATTTATTATTTTTAAAAATATTTTTGCTTTCTTTTTGTTTCCCACAGTCACTTGAAAAAGACTGTCATCATAAACAAGCAATCTAGAAAGGTCACATTGGAGCAATGTAATTGACTTTCAAGATAAAAATCATTTCTGAGTATTTATCTGTATTTCAGCTTTCAGTACACACATAGAAAGATAGTGTCCTGTGAGAATAAGTTGTCTTCTCAAGTATTCTTATCAGTGTATCAATCAAATATCAATTTGCTTGCCACTTCTGCAGGTTCAAGCAAACCCACTCTCTGTAAGAACCATTTGCTGTTTGTAAAGGTATTGTTTTTATAACGAGTACCTCATGTGTGCCAGGTGTTGTGCTAGAAAATGGCAGAGCTGATGCTAGTCTACACAGTGTTTATGAGTAAATAAGAAAGCGGCATCCATCCTTTCCTCGAGACACCTTTATTTTCAGCTATTAGAATACTGTCATAATATGCCGACTTTGTTAGGACAAGAAATTTCTGACAAGAATTGTCAGAAAATTGTAGTAAATATATGGTTCTATGATTTAAAGGGTACCCCTTGTATATGGCCCTCTTCTGCAATGCATACTACATCTTATATTGCTGCCCTGATTACTGGGGATACACATATCGAAGGACAGCCACAGCCTCTGCCCCTGTGGAATTTACAGTCTAGGAAGGATACAGAGCATATAACAAAGGAATCTGTCATGGACTCAGAGGTAAGAGAAAACTTGAATGCTTCAGTATAGATCTAAAAGGTGGGAATTAACCAGGAGAACGGGGTCAGGGGAGAACATTCCATGCAGAGGACTAGCAAGTGCAGAGGCTCTGTGTTGGCTGCAGGCAGAATGTGTTTAAGACATAAAAAGGAGGCTGAGCACAGAGAGCTGAAGAGAGGGTAATATCAAAAGAGTCTGGAAAGGTAGGCCAGGGAGCACGCCATGCAAAATCTTATAGGCCATATTAAGGACTTTGGTTTTATTTTTAAAACAATGGAAAATCATTTGAGGATTTCAAGTAGGAGTGGTGAGGGGTGACAGAGATTTCATGATCAGATTTGCGTTTTGAAAAGATTGCTCTAGCTTTAACATGGAGAATGAGTTGGGGGCTCAAAGTGAAAGCAGGACAGGGCCTCTGTTGCACAGTTCTAGGAGGAACCCCCTAACCCCCATAGTGAGTTATATTCAGTTATATAATGAATGGCACTGAAAGAACACATTAATAGTATATAATGTGAATTGCACCTCCTGGAGTTGTGCAATGTTGCAATGGTAGAGTGCAGGGAGCCCTGTTAGAAGGCCATGGCAGTAGTCTAGGTCAGGGATTATGATAGTTCAGATAGAATGGTAGCAGATTTGAAATGGACAGATCTGAAAGTCAAGGTATAGAGGTAGGCTTAATATCTCATAGAACTGCCTCAGTGTAAATAAAGTAAGTTGCTTCAGTAGTAGTAGTAACTCAAATTCTATTGGTTAATTTTATAAAGATAAAGCTCCTATATTCTATGTTGATGAATCCTGGAAACTAATTTGAAACTTATCTGTCTTAATCATTTAAAGAGAGCTTACTTGTTATTCAGGAATAAAATACCTTGTAAACTAGAAGGCTATCCTCTAGGCCTATACTGTCCTGTATGGTAGTCACCAGCGACATGTGGCTATTGAGCACATGAAATGTGGGTAGTCTGAAAGTGCTGTAGACTGCAAATATACTCCAGACATCAAAGACGTAGTTGAAACTATCTGATTAATGACTCTTCATTTTGATTGCATATTGAAATAATAATATTTTAGATATGTTGGATTAATTAAAATTAATCTTACCTTTTAATTAAAAAATTTTTAACATGGCTAATAGAAAATTTAAATTACATGTATGGTTCATATTATATTACTACCAGACAACACTGATCTAGTCCACAAAGAAGGAAAGGTCGAGGCATTTTTAACTTTGACAGCATGATGGCTGGCATCACCAGATAGGTGCTTTAGTATCCTTAGACTTCATATGATAGATTATGATTCCAAATTCAAGGTCCAAATTCCAAATTTTATTCCTTATAATACTCACCACAATATGACTGTAAATGCTAGTCTTGGCAAGAGAAAGTATTATTTTATCATCCAAACTAATAAGTTTTGGTCTGGGCTTGATCCTGGGATCCATTTTTATAACTTCATCATCAAATTTCAAATCCTGGGACAATACTGATCCTTCTGAGTTTTTTTTGCTTTCTTCTAGAATAACATTGTTGAATGAAGAAAATAGTGAGCGAGCCTTGACCTAAAAAATTTATTAAAAATATTGAAAATTTGGTTATTGTATTTATCATTTTGAACAAGAAACAGGCTATGTAGCAAAGATGGATTATCTCTTTTTTCAGTTATATAGCAATACCTATGATGACTAGAATCACATTAGGAAATCAATGAGAGTAGATTAAAATTGTGGGCTAAGAATAAACATGTTCATCCCCTCCCACTGAAAATTCCTTAAAACTGGCAAAAGATAATTTTTAATAGTTTTTCAACAGTGGAGAGGGCACCAACAAAAGACTAGGAATTGTGAGACATAAATAAGAAGGGACTAAATTGAAGACAAATAGGAGCAGAAATATAACCTGTAGCCAAAACATGTATGGGAGATAACCACTTTGAAGAGCAGATCCAGAAACACTTGGTGTTCAGAGTGAACAAGTAAAACAGCAGTGGGATGCTGTAGGTAATTAACAGGTAATTAAGTAATTATGGTAAGAACTGTGGATGAAATGAGCATGAACAACATAAACAGAAATGGCTCTAGAAAAAAACAAAATAATCCATAAGAGAATTATTTAAGACATGGGGTAGGCTGCTATAGAAAAGAATAGGGTAAATACTTTAGAGTCAAAATAAAAACAATTAGTGAAATAAAAATATTCAATAAATGCTCTGAGAAACCAAATGGATATGGCAACAGATCAAATTAGCAAGGTGAGGCTATTATTGAGGAAATCTTCTAGAACATAGGATTTAAAAATGGAGGTATAAAATATGAGAGAAAAAATTAAAAGACATGGAGGATCAATTCAGAATGTCCAACATTTAATGAATCAGGTTCCAGAGGGCTGAACAGAGAATGGAAGAGAAAAAATAATGAAGGAATTAAGAGAAGAAAATTTCCCAGAAGTGAAGAAAGAACTGAATCTTTAGATAGGAAGAGCTAATGAAGTGGGAAGCAGATGAATAATGGAGTAAGGTCTTTGCTGACATCAGTCACTGAAGAGTCACAACAGCCAGGACTGCCCACCTCTCGACTTCCTGTTTTTTTTTTTAAAGATTTTATCCATTCATTTGACAGAGACACACAGCGAGAGAGGGAACACAAGCAGGGGGAGTGGGAGAGGGAGAAGCAGCCTTCCCACGGAGCAGGGAGCCTGATGCGGGGCTTAATCCCAGGACCCTGGGATCATGACCCGAGCTGAAGGCAGACGCTCAATGACTGAGCCACCCAAGCGCCCCTCGACTTCTTGTTATTTGAGTCATTCTGTTTACTATTTGTCTAGGCTTCTGTGTCTTTTCGCTGAAAGCAAACTTGACTGAAACAGTCTCATTCATAATAACAATATAAAATATAAATGCCCAGAACTATACTTAACACCAACATAAAGAAAACTGTAAGAGAGGACTTGAGTAAATGGAATAACTTATCATGTTTCTGGTTGAGAGGCCCATTACTGCAAAAGTCAGTTCACCCCAAATTAACTTTTAAATTCAGTACAATCTCAACAAAATCCTAAAAAGATTTTGAAATAGAACTTAACAAGCTAAAAAAAAAAAAAAAAAGAACTTAACAAGCTGATTTTAAATTTTATTTGGAAGAGAAAGTGTTCAAGAATAGCCAAGAAAATTTTTTAAATTTTATTATGTTATGTTAGTCCATACAATACATCATTAGTTTTTGATGTAGTGATCCACGATTCATTGTTTTCATATAACACCCAGTGCTCCATGCAGAAAATTTTTTAAAAGATGAGTGGGGGCAGAGGAAGGGAATTTGCCCTATAACGTATCAAAGCCTATTATCAAGGTTGTAATAACCAAAACAATATGATAGGGGTCTAAGATTAAATAAGAGGACCAGTGGAACAGAATAGAAAGATCTATAAATAAACCTCTTATTTATGAAAATAATTTTAACAATAAAGAGGGTATCTCAAAATAGAGCAAAAAAGATGATGCTTGGTCAAGTAGCTATCCATTTTTTAAGGAAAAAATTATTTGATCCCCTTCTCTCACATGATATAAAATAATTTCCAGATGGGCTTTTAAAAAGTTGAAAGCTAAAGAGCTAATCTATATAAGTATTGGAAGAAAATAAAGAAGACTATTTATATAAGCCTTCTGAAATGAGACATAAAACTCAGACTCTGTAACAGAAAAGATGGAGAGATCTGACCTCTTAAAAATGAACAAGTAAATTACAAATTAAAATGACAAGTAAGGTTTTTGCTAGAAATAAATTTAAAAGATAAGTGACAGAAAATGTTTGCAACATATAAGACAAAGGATTAATATCCAAGAATGCATATAAGGGTTTTCCAATCAATATGAAGAAGATAAAGTCCAATAGAAAATAGTCAAAGGATATAACAGGTAGTTTATAAGACTAAATAATCCATAAGTATATGAAAGAATAAAGTTTCTTTTTCTTGCCCATCAGAATGGAAATGTAAAAGATTGATAATATCTTGTTTTGGTAAAGATGCAAGGAAACAAGCACTGTCACATACTGTTGGAAATCTGTAGAATGGCCAAGCCTTTGTGGAGAATACTGGCAAAATCTACCAACATTTAATATGTGTATATCCTTTGACTATCCAAATCTTTTACAAATCTATTCTGCAGAGAAACTTCCATATTTGTATAAAGATGCAGCTATAATGATATTCAATGAAGCACTGTTTTAAATAGTAAGAAAACTCGAAACAACCTATATGTTTCATCCACAGAGGAATAGTCAAATAAATCAGAGTATTACTGGATAGTACGCAGCCACCAAAAGAATGAAGTATAAACCTATATGTACTGAAGTAGAAATATGTCCAAAACATATTGTTAGAGGCAAAAAAAATCACAAAATACTTAGGTTTTGATTCTACTATGTAAAATGGTATATGTTGTTATATATGTAAATACATAGAAAAAAAGATTGAAAGCAAACCCACAAAGCCATTAACAGTGGATTTCTGCACGAAAGGGAGTGGTGCCGGGGTTGAAGTGAAATCAAATTTTCATGTTTATTATATATTCTTCAATGTAGTTTGAATATTTTTCAGTGAGACTACAGCCATATATTACTCAGATAATATATTTGTGCATATAAAAACATTTAGGTGTCATAATGATTTGTTTTAAAAATTAAACCCTTCACTGAATAACTATTATATATATATGTTTATGTATAAATATGTATGTTTAATATAAACTTGACATTACATTATTAGACTTAAAATTACTGTTCTGTTCTTATTTAAGGAATTCCATTTTTAAAAATACATCCATACCACTGTAATATACTCAAATTCAACAATGTATTCTGGCAAAACAAGGTCATGATCAAAGACAAACCACTTGCACTGCCGAATGCTGCAATCACAGTTTCTTTGTCCCATGACAGAATCTAGAGTAAAATCAAAAACAAAACAAAACAAAATACTCTTCAAAATGAAATATACTTTTTTCATTATTTACACAGATTAATAAACAATAAACTCAGTAAGTTCCAACTACCATGTTATTAAGAGTGTTTTATTTCTTATATTTTTCCACCCCTCCTAGACAGTTTCTTAATTCTAAAAATACTTACTAGTCACCCTTTCACTACTTAGACTAGTAGGATTTAATTTTATTCATGTCCTTTTCCTTTTCATACTTCTCCATTTTTTCTATTCAGTGTGTGGCCATATATTTTTGACATGTATTACTCAAAAACCTTTGTTATTAAAAGTGAGTGGGTTTTTCATCTTTTGAAATAACATATAATATACATGAAATACACAGACTAAAAATGAAATATATATTATATATGAGATACATAAAATATATATGTATTATATAATATATATGTATATAATATACATATATGAAACATAATATATAGTATATACACATAATATATATGAAATACAGATAACAGTATGTATGGGTGTGTAAATATAAAATAAAAGTTTACAAAATAAAAATCTACACATACACATATATAAATGTCATTGAAGTAGGGAACAGAAAAATAGAAGCTCACTAGTAGCTAGCAAAGGATTTTTTAGAAAAGTTTACAAACTTTGTTAGATAGAGGTTAAACTCCACACATCTGTATTAAATACAAACATTTTGTATTCAGGAAAATTAAAGCACATTTCTCTTATGGCAGACATACTTAGTATGTATTTTCGAGGAACGAACACTGAATTAACCATTGGATAGTTAGCTTGATTGATGGAGTCCTGTTCATGAGCCTGAACACTCTGGCCAAGGAAGACCTTTGTAATGAGGAGGATGCCTAAATATGAATAAAAAATAATTTTAACACTAATTCATTTTGGTAACTTTCCCATATCACTTTCTTTATTAGTCCCAGACCTGACTATATGTTCCGTAAGGGGAGAAATCCTGGGTACCTTGTTTGCCATTGTACAGCAAAACAGAAGCTCACTAAATATTTGTTGACCAAATGTGATTATAGCAAGCAAAACTTTACAGAAAAGGAAGAAGGAAAGAAAATAATAAGTTTTTTTATTAAGTAATTTAAAGTAAGAAAATTTTTGTTGTTATTAACTGGGTAAAAATTCATTTCTGTATCATCAGCACCTAGCATATAGCTTAGATCATAAGAGGCACTGAATACATGTTTACTGAATGGATAAACATTTCTTTTCCCTTTAGATTCCTAAGGGATCTTTGGATTCACTCAATCGTAAGGATCTCTAGGGGTCACTGAATCCTATAAAGTAACTTGTAATCACTAGGCATAAAACATTTAGAAGACTTTTTTTTTTTACTATGTACGAGTTATAAAATGCAAATTGAGAGAACCTAATTGTTTTGGGAAACATATTTCAGAAGGATCTAGAAAAACATCATGAGGTGTTTCTTAAGATGGGAATAGAGGAGAATGAGCAAAGAAGCATATGGTTTTTTCAAATGAGTTCTTTCTAGATTCAATAATTTTAATTTTCTGATTTTTATTAACTGAATGAAAGACTGCAAAACACATGTAGTTCAACATGAATAACCTTAGCAGAGCTATTGTCTGGAACCTAGAATATTATTGTTATAGACTTAAGTTAATGAAATTTCTGACTGCCCAGTCTTCACTAGGTTGAACAGTGGAGACCAAAGGTGTCCCTTACTCTCTGACCCAGTCAGTTCTCCTTATTATATATTCTTTGGTCATATGCACTAATATTTCATCTTGTAGCTCTTATGGAATTTGTAATTTTACATTTATTTGTGTGATTATTAATGTTTGTCAGTACTATAAAGGAGCACTGTGTCTAGTTTGCACATACTGTATCCCTATCCCCTACCGGGTGCCTAACACGCAGTAAACATTCCATAATACTGGTGGAAGTGAAGAATGAACAGTGGGAGGGTGAGGTAAGAGGACCTGATGAGCTGGTTTTTTCCCCAATCTGTGGTTACCAGGGAACCTCTCCCACAAGTATCCTACAAATTGGCGCATATGCTTTTATTTATCTATATATATTCAAGATGCAAATAAAGTACTGCTCGCTGTGAATAAATGAAAATACCAAAAGTTTATCTTCTATGAGGCAATTTATAAAGCAATCTATACACTTCACAGTTTGTCTTCAGCCAGTTTTAGATTTACAACCAGGTTTTCTTCTTTTTTTTTTTTTTAGATTTTATTTATTTGACAGAGAGAGAGCACGAGCAGGGTAGGGGGAGGGGGAGAAGCAGAGGGAGAAGCAGGCTCCCCGCTGAGCAAGGAGCCCAATGCGGGACTCAATCCCAGGACCCCAAGATCATGACTCGAGCCGAAGGCAGACGCTTAACCAACTGAGCCACCCAAGCGCCCCAGGTTTTCTTATCTTCTATTACAATGATTAAGGACAAATAAGGCCTGCCTTCCCGAGTGCTTGGTATGATGATTATTGCATAATTGGGCCAGGTTCTCTTTTCTCTTTCCTGTGAATTTGGGGTGTGGTGTGTGCTTGTGTGTGTGTGTGTGTGTGTGGCATGCATATATATTGAGTTTGTTTTTAGGACACAAGTTAATGAAAAAAGGAGACTGAGAGAGAGGAGCTAAGGTGGCAATGTAGTAGGAGGACCCTAGGCTCATCTTGTCTCTCCAGTGAACAAAGCAGACTGTGAAAAGTGCTTGTTCCATATAAATTAGCTTAAATATGAGTAACAAATGAGTCCCATCCTATTAATGTTGACACAATAATCAGTAAATATTTGTTCACAACTTGACTGAAGTAATAGATCAGGAAGTCATATATCACTACAGTGATAAATACTAAGTAAAACAGTTTTTAGAAAATCTTCCTGATTGATAAAACCAAGTATTAAAAATGTTATGAAAATAATTAATGAAGACTTTGAACTAAAAAGTTCAGAAATTCAGTGTATTTATAATACCATGCCTGAAGAGCTCATTCTCAAGAGAGTTCTTCTCGTCTTTGTACTTTTGCTGTAACAATTCAATTCTGGGACACTCACACATACTGAGGCTGTTAGCAAGAATCACAGCTTCTTTTCTGAGGGGCAGCTGTAAAGAAAAAACAAAGTCTGAGTATTTTTATAAAACTGACAGTACTTCAGCTTCAATACAGATGGTTTACTGGTTTATGTTTGTGGGTCTGGGCAAAGATAAGTCAGGCTAGATTTGCTGAAAAGTAGACAACCTTCAGGTGCAATTTCATTGGGTAAGGCCATGTATATCTTTTAAATTTACATGCAAACAGGTTTATGAAAAGTGACACAGAATGATATTTGTTCCTGTAAAAGCAGCCAGAGTCAAGACTGACAACACTGTGGGTGAAGGAGCTGTAGTTTTACACATTTTCAAGAATACTCCACAAGTAATTGTGCAAATTCCAAAAAGAAAATCCTGTGTGACATTATATCAGTGAAGGTTCTTATTTAGATATGATATATACATAGATATGATAGATACATATAGATTTGGATATATAAATAAAGATTTGGTATAATAGTGTTTTTGGTTTAATAATCTACGCTGCTTTCCAGATACATCTCATCGTGCTAATGCATTGAAATCTTGGTTTGCATTGTGACTAGATATCCTTCTTGAAGTGTTTTATCAGAAATATAGTACTACAGTAAAATTCATGTTACTTCCTGTGAAAGCAGTTCTGAAAAGCGAATAAAATATTTTTTAGTAGTAGAAACCTTAGAGCTAAGAGAGATTATACAATCTATCCAAGGACAGAGTAGAAATTAGCGAAGTCATGATTTGAACTCAGGTCTGCTCCTCCTTGTCACTCTCTCAGTTTTGACATTATTACTAGTTTAATATTAGTAGCCAATTTATCTAAAAATATATGTTTTCTATAAATGCTGAATTGCTTAGAATTTGCTTCAATATTTCTTATTGAAACCTGTTATCCAAAGAGATTTAAAAAATAAATAAATCCTAGGGGCACCTGGGTGGCTCAGTCATTAGCGCCTGCCTTTGGCTCAGGTCATGATCCTGGGTCCTGGGATCAAGCCCCGCATCGGGCTCCCTGCTCCGCGGGAAGCCTGCTTCTCCCTCTCCCACTCCCCCTGCTTGTGTTCCCTCTCTCGCTGTGTCTCTCTCTGTCTAATAAATAAAATCTTTAAAATAAATAAATAAAGAAATACTAAAATGTGGCTCATGTTACTATAAATTCCACATCCCAGTAAATAGAACCTTCTCAGATTTCCAATGAACATCACTAAATATCCATTAGATACAAGCTATGTGCCTGGCATTATGCAGCGATAGCATGGTCTTGGCCCTCAAATAACAGAGGGAAAGATCGTGAAGAGAGCACAGGCAGTAATCTTTCTGACATCGGCTGTAGCAGCATTTTTCTAGATATGCCTCCTGAGGCAAGGGAAATAAAAGAAAAAATAAACTGTCAGGACTACATGAGAACAAAATGTTTCTGCACAGCAAAGGAAAGAATCAACAGAACAAAAAAGCAACCTACTAATAATGAGAGGATATTTGCAAATGATATATCCAATAAAGGGTTAGTATCCAAAATATATAAAGAACTTATAAAACTCAATACCTAAAAAGCAAATAATCAATTAAAAAATGGGCAGAAGACATGGACAGACATTTCTCCAAACAGACATACAGATGACCAAAAGACACATGAAAAGATGTTCAGCATCACTGATTATCAGGGAAATGCAAATCAAAACCTCAATGAGAAATCACCTCACACCTGCCAGAATGGCTAAAATAAAACACACATGAAACAACAAGTGTTGGTGAGGATGTGGAGAAACAGGAACTCTTGTGCTGTTTGGATGGAATGCAAACTGGTGCAGCCAGTGTGGAAAACAGTATGGAGGTTCCTCAAAAAGTTAAACATAGAACTTCCCTACCATCCAGTAATCACACTACTAAGTATTTACACACAAGAAACAAAAACACTAATCAAAATGAGTCATGCACCCCCATGTTTATTGCAGCATTATTTATAATAGCCAAATTATGAAAGCAGCCCAAGCGTCCATCGATAGATGAATGGATAAAGATATATATATATATTATATATATATACATATATATGTGCATATATACATGTGGTATATACGCACAATGGAATATTATTCAGCCACAAAAAGGAATGAAATCTTGCCATTTGCAACAACATGGATGTAGCTAGAGAGTATTATGCTAAGTGAAATAAGTGCGTCAGAGGAAGACAAACACCATATAATTTCACTCATACGTGGAATTTAAGAAACAAAATAAACAGCAGAGGAAAAGAGAGAAAAGAAACAGACTCTTAACTATAGAGAACAAACCGATAGTTATCAGAGAGAAGGTAAGTGGGGGGATGGGGGAAATAGGGAATGGGGATTAAAGAGTACACTAAATTATTATGATGAAAAAAATGATTTAAAAAATAAATAGATAACAAAAAAAATAGAATCAGAAAATGTAAAAAAAAAAAAAAAAGAAGAGGGGAAGACAGAAACTATACCCAGTAATTAAAAATAAAAACCATCACAAGATATGTCAAATAAGATCTCCTTTTTTCCCTTTTTTTTTAGGTGGGGAAGGGGCAGAGGGAGAGGGAGAAAGAGAATCTCAAGCAGACTCCCCGCCCAGCATGAAGCCTGATGTGGGGCTTGATAGGGCTCAAGTGGGGCTTGATCTCACAACCCTGAGATCATGACCTGAGCTGAAGTCAAGAGTTGGAGCCTTAACCAACTGAGCCACCTAGGCACCCCTCCTTTTTTAAATGAAATGATTAAGAATGAGTTTGTAGAGGTTAAGGGATCAGTGCTAGGCTTTGAAGATTAGACATAATTCCAATAATCAGAAATTTTAAAGGAAAGTCTTTTTAAGAGGAGAGCATATGAAGGTATAGAAACAGATTGTTATCCACCCATCTATTCAATTATCCATCATACATGAATCAGATTTCCACTAAGAAAGTCCCTGCCCTCAAGGACTTGTAGAGAAATGCACACACAATTGCGTTTCAACATAACATGCTACAATAAAATTCTCAACTGCCACTGATTGCCACTTAACCAGCTTCCATTTAACCAGTTCACAGGATTAAGCAGTATTTTCCATCCTTTCTAGAACCTACAGTATGGTGACAGTTCAAGGATAAGAGGGTACTTTAAAAAATACTGATGTACTAGCATAGGGAATTAGTCAGTAATATTGTTAATAACATTGTATGGTGACAGATGGTAACTACACTAGTCGAGGTGAGCACTGAGTAATGTATAGAATTGTTGAATCACTATATTGTACACCTGAAACTAATATAACATTGTATGTCAGCTCCATTTCAGTAATAAAATTTCTTTTAAAAACTGATGTACTTCTATTCCATGCAGCTGTGTTGCATGCTTACGAAAAGTCAGTAGTGTTCCTAAACTTTTTTTATACCAGTTGTATCGGTTATTGAAATTATACACATTAAATAAAACAATGAACTATGAGAAAGAGAGTTGTTTCCATGAAAAATAAGTGGAAAGCTTTTGTAAGACTGCAGAGAGAGTAATCATTAAAAGCTTCTCTTAAAGCATGTGTAGGTGAGGCAAACACAAAAGTTTGGTGGTGGCTGGGAGGATCATACAAACTATAAAACTAGATTGATTTTTGCACTCAAGTTGCTTTGCAAGAATCTTTAAGTTCATGCTCGACTTTAAAGAAACTGAAACTAGTATGTAATATGGTTGTGGCCTGATGTAAGAAAGACTATCAGGAGTTCCAACCTCATATCAAAGGCTTTGGCCCTACATACAAAGAAAGACAAATGATGGGACACCTGGGTAGTTTAGTTAGTTAAGGGTCTGCCTTCGACTCAGGTCATGATCTCAGGGTCCTGGGATTGAGTCCCGCGTTGGGGTCCCTGCTCAGTGGAGAGTCTGCTTCTCCCTCTCCCTATGTCCCTCCCTTCTCCCTGCCCCCCCTCCCCCCGCCCCGGCTTGTGCTCTCTTGCTCTTTCTCTCAAGTAAATAAATAAAATCTTAAAAAAAAAACACAAATGAAATGGAAGTTTATAGGTTTTCAAAAAATTTTCTTTTTTAAATTTTAAGTAAACTCTACTCCACACGAGGCTCAAACTCATGACCCTGAGATCAAGAGTCGCATGCTCACCCAACTGAACCAGCCAGGCATCCCTGTCAGTTTATATGTTTTAAGTTTGCTAAAGGGGTGCTCGCTTTGGCAGCACATATATTAAGTTTGCTAAAGAGTTCTTTAAGTAAATAATTTGTTTATAGTTCTCCATATTAACTGACTTTTTTATAAACCTGTAAACTAGGTAAGAGGTCTCCTACTGTTTGAGAACTCAGGAAAGGCTGAAACTTGTAAGTTTGCCATAGGGGAAAAGCAGGAAAGAGCAAAGGGAGGCATGGCACTGAGGTGTGTTTAGGAGAATCATAAGAAAAGTACATACTTCATTTGGGATATCTGTTATATTTGGTAATAGGGAGTTAGGTTGAAGCTAGATTTTGAGGGGCCTTAAAAGCCAGGCAGAGGGATTTGGATTTCATTATCATGAGTAACGGGCAGCTACTGAAAGATTTTCATCATGAAACAGTGTAGTGTGAGCTGTGAAAATAACATTTTAGGAAAGATTAATTTGTACTGTTAAAGGTGGATGGAATAGAGAGGAAGACCAAGGGCAGCGTTGCCTACCAGGAAACTACTAGCAAAGATTAGAGGGATTTTTTTTTTTTTAAATTAAGTAGGTTCCATGCCCAGCATGGAGCCCAATGCAGGGTTTGAACTCATGACCCTGAGATCAAGACCTTAGCTGAGATCAAGAGCCAGACACTTAACTGACTGAGCCACCCAGGCGGTTCTAAGTGTTGGAATGTTCTAAGTGGTGGCAGGCAATGGTAACAGTGAGGGAACGGAAGAATGCAAGTGATGCAAGGAAGAATCACTACAAATTGTAAATGATTAGCTATAGGGATAAAGGAAGAGGGAGAGGTCAGATATGATTTCAAGGCTTTGAACCTGGTCGGTGGAGAGAATGACAGCATTGTTAGTAGAAAAAAGACAAGAAGACGGGGAGAGTTGCTTATGGGCAACTCTTAGATATATTGTATAAGGAGACAAGGCAGATTAACCAGGTAGGAATGGCAGCTGTGGGTTTCACAGCAAAGATCAGGAGGCTGAGGATGTATATTTTGGAGAAAGCCAAAATGGAATAAATGATACTTTCTATGGCTATTGACCAAGTCCTTGGGTATCAAAGAGAATATATTATCTTCCCCCTGCCCTCCAGCCCTCTGCCTTACAAAGTCACTGCCAACCTAAGCCAAATTCGTCTTTTTTTTTTTAAAGATTTTATTTATTTATTTGACAGAGAGAGACAGCGAGAGAGGGAACACAAGCAGGGGGAGTGGGAGAGGGAGAAGCAGGCTTCCCTCGGAGCAGGGAGCCCGATGCGGGGCTTGATCCCAGGACCCTGGGATCGTGACCTGAGCCGAAGGCAGATGCTTAACAACTGAGCCACCCAGACACCCGCCAAATTCGTCTTCTAAACTGCTTATGCAGCTCATGTTTTTAGTCTTATCCCATCTCTTAAATGATGTAGTACATAAATATTTATCTTTACTCCTTGCATGCACATCATGGCATAAAAATCTAGTTTATCAGATCTATGTGCTACACAGTGATTTTTCTAGCCAATTATGTTCCCCCGTTTCTAAGATTTTAACAACGAGAGTAACTGATAGTGTGTGGAGAAAAAAGGGCAGATTAGTGAACCTTAATCTTGTGGTATTCTCATGTTTAGAGGGAAGGGGAGGAATAAAAAGAAAACAAAGGCAGGACAATCAGCAAAATAGGAAGATAACAATAGTGTAATATCGTGGATGCCAAAGGAGAGTTTCAAAAAGGAAAGAGTGGTCAATAGTATCAGGTATTTCAGATAATAATGGTAAATTTTACATGAAAACTTCCTATGTGCCAGGAACTGGTCCAAGAATTTTGGGGTAAATTTTAATAATACATCTTATTTAATGTAATATATCTGAAATGTTATCATTTCAACATGTAATCGATATAAGAAATTATAGTCTTTTCTCTATACTAAGTCTTTCAAAACTGGTATTTATTTTAAACTTTTAGCACATCTCAATTCAGACGAGTTGCATTTCAGATGTTCAACAGACATCTGTGGGTGGGGGCTGCCGTATCGGACAGATGGCTGGGAGAAGGTTTAGGGATTTTGTACCTCCTAAAGGAGATACAGGAGATAAAGAGCTAGCACAGTGTCCAGCAAGCAGGAAACACACAAAGGTTAGCTCCGTCTTTCTGCCACCCTTTGTGCCCCTGATACCTCATAGTTCTCTGGAAACATCCTGAGCACTCTCCGCCTTAAAATCCTCTATTCCTCCCCTCCCTCTCACTTCTCTTCCAGAGAGTACAGTGAGGGCACTCTCACCACGCCACCCTGCTGAAGCCACCATCAACTCTAGCTTGAGCTGCTGAGCTATGTCCTCCGTATACTGCCCCTGTCTTCTGCTCCTGCTCCCCCCAGTCCATTCTCCACTGAGTGGCTGCAATGCTTTTTGGGGGATTTTTTTTTTAAAGATTTTATTTATTTATTTGAGAGAGAGAATGAGAGAGAGCACATGAGAGGGGGGAGGGTCAGAGGGAGAAGCAGACTCCCTGCCGAGCAGGGAGCCCAATGTGGGACATGATCCAGGGACTCCAGGATCATGACCTGAGCCGAAAGCAGTCACTTAATCAACTGAGCCATCCAGGCGCCCAGTGATTTTTTTTTTTATTGTGGTAAAAAAATACATAAAGTAAAACTACCGTTTTAATCATTTTTAAGGGTACAACTCATTGGCATTAAGTATATTCACAATGTTGTGCAACCATCACCATTATTCATTTCCAGAACTTTTCATCATCCCAAATAGGAACTCTGTACTCATTAAACAATAACTCCCTATCCCTCCATCCTCCCCATCCTCTGGTAACCTCTATCCTACTTTCTGTCTCTACCAATTTGCCTATTCTAAGTACCTCATGTAAGTGGAATCATACAATATTTGTCCATTTGTGTTTGGCTTCTTTCACTTAGCATGATGCTTTCAAGGTTTAACCACGTTGTATCATGTGTCAGAATTTAATTCCTTTTTATGGCTGACTAATAACTCCACTGAATATGGATATACCACATTTTGTTTATCCATTCATCTGATGATGGGCCTTTGGGTTGTTTTTACTTTTTGGCTATTGTGAATAATGGTGTTATGAACATGGATGAACAAGTATCCAAGAACTCTTTAATGCACACCTTACTGAATCCTAACAACAACTCTGTGGAATAGATACTATTATTACCTTCATTCAGATAGGAAGAAACAGACACAGAGAGGTGAAGGCACATAGCTGGTGAGTAGGAAAGCCAGGATTTAAATGTGGCAACATTATCATTTCATGTGTGCCATGATGTGAAAAGGATGAGGAGGCACTGCTCTATACCTGTGTGTTACAGCTGCCTTATCAGGAAGGTGGAAGACTAAGAAAGGATGATTGGATATTTTAGAGCTCAGAGTGACCAGGGGGCAAGGGGGGGAAAATGAAGTAGCGAATAAAGAAGTGGTGGGAGTAAAAGAGAAAAAGTGAAACAGAATGATAGCTAGAAAGCCCAGCAGTGTTGACTGAATGGATTTCTTTTTTCAAGATGGGGAGTGTTTTCAAGATGGACATTGGAGATTTTAAAACAGATTAGAGAAGTAGATTTCAAGATCATCAATAAAAGGGTCACAACATAAAAATAGGATGCCTAGAAAGATAAAGTGAGGCAGATAAAGTAATTGATGGACTTACAATGGTATAATACAAGGAAGGAAGATGCTATACTTTCCAGCACCAAGCTGTCTATGAAACAGCAGTTTGTTATAAATATGGATAAAAGGATTAAGAATTGGGGAGCCTGGGTGGCTCAGTTGGTTAAGTGTCTGCCTTTGTTTGGCTAAAGTCATGATCCCAGGGTCCTGGGATCGAGCCCTGTGTCGGGCTCCTGCTCAGCAGAGAGCCTGCTTCTCCCCCTGCCTCTGCCTGCCTCTCTGCCTGCTTGTGCTCTCTGTCTGTCAAATAAATAAATAAAATCTTAAAAAAAAAAAAAAGGATTAAGAATTGAACTCTGGGGCGCCTGGGTGGCTCAGTTGGTTAAGCGACTGCCTTCGGCTCAGGTCATGATCCTGGTGTCCCTGGATCGAGTCCCGCATTGGGCTCCCTGCTCGGCAGGGAGTCTGCTTTGCCCTCCAACCCTATCCCCTCTCATGTGTTCTCTCTCATTCTCTCTCTCTCAAATAAATAAATAAAATCTTTAAAAAAAAAAGAATTGAACTCTGCCTAACCAATGGCAGAGCTTTATTCATTAGGAAGAAAGCAGCATTCTGAACATTTTATGCTACTACCTTGCTTGTTTCACTGTCTTTGAATCCTTTTTCAAGTATTTGTAGCAGATGCTTTTTCTTCACTGTAACTTCAGGATCAAAAACATAAAAAAGACATTCCAGCATCTTTCGATAGCTCCTTAAGAATAATTGAGACAAAAAAAATTTTGAGAATTGATTCCAAAAAAGCTTAGCCATAGATAAGACAACTGTATATCCTGCAGGATATTTCCCATTTACAATGCATGTTCCAGCGTCATTATTAAGCCTCCAATCCCCCTCAGTCTCAAAAAGAGCCCCAGTGTGGGTATAATCAAGGGAGATGCATGAAAAGGAAATATTTACTAACAAGGTAATATTTTTAGTATTGTAAACTTTTAAAAAAGAATGACTCTTTTACAAAATAAAATCAGACTTCTATAAAAATGTTCCTTATGGAATTTAACTTCTTACTCTGAATCATGATTATCTTCATTGTCAAAAAACTTTTGGAATTTCTCTTCAAATTTTAGTCTCAGAATGCGGTTGTTGACTTTGATGACACGTTTTACTTTCACTCCTGTAATTCCATATGTTCTGAAGTCCCATGTACAAAAACGTGAGAGAATTAATTCATAGCAGGAGTTAAACCTATATGGGAAGACAGAATATATACAAAGAAAATAACAGATTGTCCTTAAAATGTTGAAGAACACAAAGTTACATATGATAAAAAGTTATAGCCCATATTTTATGTTTTTGCTAAAGATACATTGTCATATTATAGCTCTGTTTTCATTTTTTTAAATTTTTATTTTATTATGTTATGTTAATCACCATACATTACATCATTAGTTTTTAATGTAGTGTTCCATGTCTGTTTTCAAACTAGGTATACTTATTCAATCAATAAAAAAGATGCTAAGCTTTGAAACATAAAATTAAGAGTTGTTTTATTAATTATTATATATGTGTTCTGACTAAAAGATACATTGGTTGAGTAATCCTCCATTACTGAAACACTTTCTTTTTTGGCTTCAATGAAACTATATGTTTCTGGCTTTCTTCTTACAGGCTTTCTCATGGTTTTCTTCGCTGGTTCTTTTTCCTCTGACACGTTTCTAAATGTTGGATTGCACCAGGAATCAGTCTTTGACTCTCCTCTTGTTTCCATGAACACTATCCCTAGGTGATTTCATCTGGTTCCTCGGCAATATATAGAAAAAATACATTTTATATATACACCAATAAACTCCAACATTTTATTCCCAGACTTTATCTCTACCCAATTTAGATGGATATACCCTGACTTGAACATCCAACTGCCTACTTGGTATATTCACTTGCACATGGAATAGGCTTCCCAAACTTAATTCAACACCTGCCTCTAAGCCTGCTCCTCCAGAGTGTTTTCCATCTCAGAATATGGTTAGTTATCTTTACGGATTGATTAGCAAATACCAAGTGCCTACTACATCCAGACACTCTGCTAGATGTTGTAGCATAGTCTAAGAGGAAGGTTCTGAGGTCCTGTGTGCAGGTGATTTGGGTTACAATGGAGAGGAGAGAATGAATGCAAGAGACATCATGGAGGGTCTTGCCCTGATTGGATGTGGAGACTGAGGGAGAGAATGGAGTCAAGAATGGCTTCAATGTTTATTGAGTCTGCATGACTGGTAGGATGGTAGTGCCACAAACAGGAATGGAGAAGTCAGTAGAAGGGGTGGTTTGTAGGTAGGAAGAGGAAAACAAAAACATAAAGATTAAGAACTAAGTACTTTTACACTATTTTGTCTAATCCTAGCAGTAATCTTTTGTGGTAGATTTTCATTTTTTTCATTTTTATAGATGAGATTCAAATGGGTTAAATGACTGATTCAAGATTATGTAGATAGAGTTTGACCTAGGTTTTCTGACTCTAACCTTACTGTATATTTTATTACTTCACAGATGAGTTCTCTTTTGAATGTGTTGAGTTTGCCTCACCAGTTGGACATCCAGATAGAAACATCTAACAGGAATAGAGTAAAGGAGAAAGACTCTAACTGTAAGTAGTTTTTAAAAGTTCAGGAATACAAGAGACTGGCAAGAGAATATAAAAAGGAAATAGAAAATGTCTAGGTACAAAAAACAAGAGAGGTGAGGGGCACCTGGGTGGCTCAGTCGGTTAAGCGTCTGCCTTCAGCTCAGGTCATGATCTCAGGGTCCTGGGATGGAGCCTCACATCAGGCTCCCTGCTCAGCGGGGAGTCTGCTTCTCCCTCTGTCCCTCCCCCTCCCCCCACCCTGCTTATGTTCTCTCTCTCTCTCTCTCTCTCAAATAAATAAAATCTTAAAAAAAAACAAACAAGAGAGGTGAAGTTACAAAGAAGGAATGGTTAGCAGCATCAAGTACAGTAGAGGCTAGGAGAGTGAGGGCCCATCATTTCATTGCGTACCATCACTCATTCAGTGGTACTGGCATGTGTGAGCATCCCCAGTGGTGATATACATCACTGACTGAGATTGAGTTACAAAGAGAGATGCCTACGATCATTCAATAATATCCAAATGATGCACTCATTTAGCAAATGTAGAATGCACATTTTTTAAATGGCTGGAGCTCAATAAAACCTATTAAAATGTACTTCAAAATCCTAAACAAGGGTTTAATAAATACTGTCAACTTATTTGCTGACTTATATCAATGTCTTATCAGTATAAAACAAAAAGTTTGTGCTGCTGTAACTCCCTGAAATAGTACAGGAAGCATGAAATCTTTATATATAAGGGTTAGATTACTGAAAGTCATTATATACACAAAAGTGAAACTGTTAAAGTGAGTATCTATTAAGTGATTCAGAAACATCAGACTGTATTTATGGAGTTACGAATCCAGCCAGCCCCATGCTAGTTTTTATGACTTATGAGGTACATGCAACATTTTATCTGTCCCCAAGGAACTTATAGTCACTTATATATTATTTTGTGATGTTTTGAACTTATTTCTTTAAACTGTAAATGCCCTGAATCTATAACCAGGTTCAAAGCTTCTCAAGCACAAGGACTATGTTTTATGCTTTGGAGTGAGTCCTGACTTGACCAATGTTGTCTGCTGTCAATGGCTAGCTCAACTGGTAATACATAGGTAGATAATATGAATCTGTAATGATAATGCTACAGTGGCAAAAATCTACTCAACAAGGAAGTCTCTATAAAACAAGGTCGTCTTTAAACTGAAAAAGATAGTCCTTTTATTTCATAAAATAAATGAAGCTAAGAAATATCAAATGATACATAATTAGAAATCTGCAATGCTCTTTTGCTAAAGAAATAAATAAAGGCTGTTTTGACAGAAAATCTTTGTATTTGGGTTCTAGCTCTACTCCAGTACTTTTTTTAAATTTTATTACATTATGTTAATCACCATACATTACATCATTAGTTTTTGATGTAGTGTTCCATGATTGTTTGCGTATAACGCCCAGTGCTCCATTCAATACGTGCCCTCTTTAATACCCATCACCAGGCTAACCCATCTCCCCACCCCCCTCCCCTCTAGAACCCTCAGTTTGTTT